CTGGTAATTTCCTAGCAACTTCCTGCCAAGGCCTCCAGGGAACGAGCCAGATGGGTGGGGTCCACTTGTGGCAGCCCTGAGGCTGGTCAGTGAGGCTGCTTTTGGCTTAGTGTTACTCTGAGATTTGAGATTCTTATGATAAATAGGACCCTCCCCAATTCTCCAATTGTGACAGGCAAGGGGACTCTATCCCAGTCTGATCTAATGAGGCAATAAGCTCAGAGGGGAAGCAGCTGGCGTGGGCACGTGGGAGGGCAGGAGGGACGTCTCTGAGATCACCGCCTTGCAGATTGGCTGGTGTGGGAAGCACTCAGGGTCTTGGAGCCTTGACCCTGTCCCACATCTGAGGTTGTGACCTTGTGCAGGTCATGTCCCCACCCCAGAACAGTGGAGGAGGGATATCATCCTGCCCAAGATGGGGGTAAGTTGGTCAAGTTCAGGGCTTAGAGGTGCTAACCCTTCTTGCCTGGTGTCCCCATGTTTTCAGGACAGTGGCCACCCGGAGACTCTGGTTAACCTCATCGTCCTGTCCCAGCACCTGGGCAAGCCTCCCGAGGTAGGCCGTCTGTCCCCAGCCAGGTGCAGGGGGGTTGTCTGGCACTCATGATACCACCCTGGGGGTGGGTGGAGGTTTCTGCTTTGGCCTTGGCTCCAGAGGAAGCTCTGGGCCTCAGACTCTGGACCTCAGGGTTGGCCTGGGGTCAGGGTAAAAACCCATTCCCCACAGATGGGCCCTGGGAAGTTGGAGTTGTGGGTGCTGCCCCAGGACCCCCACCCTGGCCAGGGCCACAGGTCAACTGCTCCCATGGGTCCTATGGACAAGTGGTCTGAGGCTCAGAGAAGGCACTTGGGCTTGGACCCCAGCCTGTGCCACCTCAGAGTGTGGGGTAGACAACAGGATGGAAAAGGGGCCCAGGAGAGTGATCCCACTTTGTCTGAGGGTGGGAAGGGAGGAGGATGCTGGAGCACCGCTCATTTAGGTGACTGGCCCAGCTGGCCAGGGGCCCAGCCAGGGCTTCGAGGCAGCTGCTTCCTGGCCCTTGGAGGAGGGCTCCCAGTAGCCTCAGCCAAGGTTGTGCAGGACAGATAGGATAACCCCCCCCACTCCAGAAACAGGCTTAGACTCCTAGTCTCAGGGAGACAGAGCCAGACAAGTGCCCCAGCCCCATATGGTCAGAACTGGGCCTGACTGGCAGGGTCAGCCTGGCGGCAAAGGCTCTGCTGGGGCCCAGCTTTCAGTCTGCAGGCCTCTGGGTGCCTCAAACCTATCTCCCTTGATTTGCCCTCCACTCTTCCTGGCCTCCCACTCTTACCCAGAACCAAGGGCTCTGCCCTGTCCACTCCTGTGAACCCTGAGTTGCATAGCCCATCCACGTGCTGAGCCCAGGTTCTGGGCCAGATCCTGTTCAGGTGGGGCAACGGAGGGCATGTGGGGAGATCAGGGCTCCTGGCAGGGAGTCTGCTGGGTGGTCCTTATCCCACCCACCCCTGCCCTGTATGTCAGAGCCACAGGGGGTTCCTGTGTTCGACTAACCTAGCCTCACCCTTCCCCACAGGTGACAAACCGCTACCTGTCCCAGCTGAAGGATGCCCATAGGTCCCACCCCTTCATCAAGGAGTACCAGGCCAAGGTGAGCCCCGACCCCCCCAGGCCTGCCAGGGAGGGACCAGAACTCAGGCTCTGACTCACATGTGTTCCCCTTTCTCTCTTTTTGTCCCTTTTTCGTGCTGAAGGAAAACGACTTTGACCGGCTAGTACTACAGTATGCCCCCAGCGCCTAAGGCCAGCCCCAGATGCAGTTTCTGCAGTGGGAAGGTGAGGCCCAGCCATGCTGCCCTCCCCAGTGGGCACTGGCCTTCATCCTTTCCCCCTCACTTTGGCCAGAGGCAGAGGCTAGAAGCCCAGTCCCCTTCTGTCAATAAATGTCTCCACATGTATCCCTGTCTGATCCATGTTTGCTCTAGACACTTTGAGGGGGGTATGTGGGAACCAAGGCTGGGACAGGAGGGTACTGGGCACAGAGTCCTGGAGACCAGGATCTATGAACAGCAGCTACAGGGACTCCCTTGGCCCTCAAAACAGCTGTCCTGTGCTGCTGAGCTGAGGGTGGCACAGCCATGTCCCCCAAGCCCAGTTGGCAGCCAGGGAAACAAGCACAGAGAGATCACGGTCATCATGATGGTCATTAGAGTTCAAACCCAGGATCCCCGAATGGTCTGTACATGGTAAGGGGCTGGAAGCACGCAAGCCTCAGGTTGGCTGAGCATGGAAGGGGTATGATGGGTCCCCCTGGAAGTAAACATCAGCCCCCGCCTGGCTGCTGCTCTGCAGGCCCATGCTCCTTGCTGCTGCTGTGCTGGGAGTCATCAACCAAGTCTAAGACCCGCTGTCGCCAGGGCCGGGGGTGCTGGAGTGCCTCTGTGGCCAAAGCACGGAGCTCCCTGCCCAGAGAAAGAAACACGTAGTGATCACCCTGCAAGATAAGGAAAAGCAGATGGAGGTGGATCGGTGGGTTAGGGAGCCTCTGGGATCAGGTCACCATTAAGCTATGTCCACAAAAACCGTAAGATGTTGCTGCCAGGCCAGGTCCTAGGGGACAAGCATCTTAGGCAGCAGAACAGACCATATAAAGTTTCTGAGCCTACACTGGGCTCCATGTGCTGGACAGGGTTTCTTGTCCTTTGTCCCTGGGCCAGGTTTGGGTCCCTCCTAGGAGAAAATAAGACACCTGGGTTCTCAGTACCTGGTCTCACCTACCTCAGAGGTGGCTGTTCAAACCCTGTCCCTGGTCGCCAGGACAGGACACAGAGCAAGGGACCCCCATCAGTGGAGCTGGCCAGGAGCTCAGCAGGAGAGAGGTACAGAGAAGAGCTCCCCTGGCAGGAGCATCAGTGCAGGGAGAGGAGTCCTTCCCTCTCAGGTGGGGCAAGAAAGGGGTACCAGTCCAGGGACCTCAGCATCCCCTTACCAGTCCCCTGGTACCTGGGAGCCCTGGTCCCCAACTGCCAGCACCAGGAGCTATTTTCCATTCCTGCCCTACACCCATCCACTGGTGGCCTCCTTTCTGTGCCCTGCCAGAATGAAACTCGAGGCTGAGGCTGGGCTGGGCTGGTGGGCAGGAGCCCTCTCCCATTACTGATGAGCACCATGGACACCAGATAGTGCTGGGTGGGAGGACAGAGATGGGTTGTTAGGAAAGTCTAGGGCTGCCCCACAGGCTGGACTGGACCTATAGGGGCATGTCCAGCCAGCCAGGGACCTCTGAGCCCCTTTGCCTGCCAGGTTGGTTGTGGTATTAGTCATCCAATAGGAAGGATGGACCCCCCTGTACACAAGCACATTCAAAAATAGTAGGAGGTACAGCAGGACAGCTGGTGAGAAATGCCAAGGAGAAGACTGATGGGGGGTGGGGTGCTAAGGGAGGTACAGTGAGCAAGTGACATTTGTAGGTAAAGCCTGAAGTTAGAGGAGAAGCCCTGCCAGTACCTAGAACAACATTGGAGACAGAAGGAACAGCCAGTGCAAAGGCCCTGAGGCAGAACTGTGTCTGCAGTGTTGGGTGTTGGAGGAACAGAGAGGAGCCCAGTGTGGCTGTAACAGAGGGAACAGGTGGAGAGGAGGGCAGGTGGTGAGTCACAGGAGTTGAACTTTTACTCTGAGTAATGGAAACCATGAGGACTGTGAGCAGAGAAGGCTCCCTCTGACCTCTGTGTGAGGTAAGGAGGATGCCAGGTAGGAGGTGGCCCAGGACCACCTCAGGTGGTGCAGGTGCAGAAAAGTGGCAGAATTCAAGAACGTTTGCGGGTGGGGCCACAGAATGTACTGCAGGGCTGAATGGGGTGGGGGGCGGTGAGAGGGAGAAGAAATGAGGTCCCCTTGACTCCTATCTGTTTTCACCTGTGCACCATGCAGGCATGTCAGGCTGGTGGCTGCAGGGGACCTAGCCCAACTCCTGGCATCCTGCACCTCAAAGGCTAGATGATAACATCCTTGGGTGGGGGGACACAGGTGGACAGGAGTCCTTAGGGTTGGGACAGGGTCTGTCAGTGCCAGGTGAAGTAATGTGCCCAACAGGTGACCAGTGCCCTCAGTGATGCTGTTTGGAGCTTCAGGTATAGAGCCTAGTCAGTGGGTGGTGGAGGATTACCTGGGGTGGTCCCAGTAAAGCCTGGTCTTGATCCAGCTTCTGAGCACACCACCTAGTGGGCACTCACTCCCTTGGCCTCCCTGCAGGCCTATGTTAACCTGCTGCAGGGGAGTCCTGCCAGGTCCCCAGAGCCACGGACAGCATCAGGTGGCCCTCTGGCTCATCCCAGCCTCTCAGGCCCCCTCCAGGGAGCACCGTGATGCCTGCAATCCTTATCTCACACTTGGAATCCCTGCAGCCTGGGTAGATCCAGAAGAGCAGTTCTGAGAAGCTTCCACACTCGGGTCCCTAGTCCAAGAGCCCGGTGTTGAATGGAAGGCAGAGTCTCCACCAAGTGTTTCTTCTTCATTCTTGAGTGGGCAGTGCTCTTTTAGAACGAGAACAGAGACCTAATTTACACTAAACTTAATGTAGTGAGGCCACTGGATTCATCGGTTGTGTGCCCGCACTCGGAATAGTGAGGTCCGGGGATGGGACGGACAGACTGGAGGGCTGGTGAGGAGACAGTACCCAGTCGAGGACACTTGCCTGCTGGTGACCACCGTGCCCCTTGTTGCGGACACAGCACTGGGGGAGCGGAGTCCCAGGAGCTCCGCGCCTGGGTTTCCCCCACTGGAAAATGGGGCCGAGCGCGGGCCCTCCTCCAGGACGCGGTGGGACAATGCCAGGACTTAAATGCCAGTGGTCCACGACGCTACCGCCGGAGGACCCAGCACCTGCCGGCCCCCAGAACACGGACGCCACGCCCGGACCCGGCGTCCCTGCCGAGGCGGAGCTTGCGTCCGCCCCGCCCCTCCGCCCCCAGGGCTCTGGCCGGCGCGCCCCAGGCCCAGCTGCGGCGCGTGACGCGGAACGCGCAGCTCCGGCGCGGGCAGGCGCAGGCGGCGCAAACGGATTTGTGAGCCGGCTGCATGGCTGCGGCCGGGACCACTGCGAGCCCCACGGGGCCTGAGCCCATGCCAAGCTACGCGCAGCTAGTACAGCGCGGTTGGGGTAGCGCGGTGGCGGCCGCGCGGGGCTGCGTGGACTGCGGCTGGGGGCTGGCGCGCCGCGGCCTGGCGGAGCACGCGCACCTGGCGCCTCCCGAGCTGCTGCTGCTTGCCCTCTGCGCTCTCGGCTGGACCGCGCTGCGCTCGGCGGCCACCACGCGCCTCTTTCGGGTCAGTGCGGCTAGGGGTCGGTCGTGGGAGCCCGGGGTGGAAGACCCGTGAGTCCCTTCCTGTCTTTTCAGGCTGGGTCACTGAACGTGGGAGAGCCTTGCGCTGTAGGAGCTCGGACGCAGGGTCCTGGTCTGCCGCGGCCGTGTGCCCCTTTCTGTCAGTGCGGGGTGGGGGTGGGAATGGATGCGGTGGTGTGGCCGGGCTGGGGGAAGTCCGCGACGTGGGGACCCCGACACGGGTGGGTGTTAGTGATGTGGGGGAAACCAGAGTACGGCCCATTCCGTTCAGTGCAGGACAGCCCGGGAGGGCTCATCGCACGGCCGTGGGGAGGGGGTGGCCCTCAGAGCCTGAACTGGAGTCCAGTCCAGGGTCTGCGCGGTGGGCAGGGCTCCCTTGTCTGCTGCCAGAGGGAAGGGGCTGGAGCTGCCTGGTCGCTGCCTCGCTCCTGTCTGGAATCCGCGCTGCCTCTAGGGAAGCAAAGATCTGGGCTCACCCGCCACCCTGGTGTTCACAGCCTCTGGGAGATGGCAGGGCCTAGGTCTTAAAAGCTGGGCTGTGCTGCGCCTCCAAGGGGCTCTGACGGAAATGCCCAGTTTCCAATGACCCAGAGGAGGCTGCCGCCCCAGCTGGAGGCTGGAGAGTGACCATGGGGGTGACATTGGTGCCTGGCCTCCCTCCCATCCTTGTGGAGGGGTCTCCTGTGGGAGCTGCTGGGAAGGTGTTTGGTCCCCTACCTCGGCTGCGACTCCCCCGTGGACCAGCTGGAGTCACCCCGCCCCGGTCTGGCTGGAGGTGGCAGGGGTACAGGGACAGAGTGCCCAGCACCAACAAAGGGGCCTTTCTCTGCTGGCCAGAAAGAGACTGGCTCTTGTTAAGTCGGGATAGGGTGTTGTCTGCTTGCCATTGTCCCCACCCCCATCCCCACATCATGAGTAAGGAAGAGACCTCGCCTATCACCCCTGCTCAGGGGGGGGAAGGCAAGTATGACAAGGCCCCCGGTTCCCTCTATAGTTAGTCCTGGTCCCAAGTTGGGCTTTATTGCTCCCTCTCCCAATTTCCAGCTGGGAAGTTGGAGGTCCAATAGGGCGAGGGCCAGTGCTCAGGCGGGGGATGTTGTGGCTCTGGGACTACCAGGACAGAGTGGGCTCTCTCCCCATGTTCCTGAGGGAGCTGGGTGGGGACAGCAACGTTACGCACCCCGCCCCCTCGCATTTGGAATCCCAGGGGTTCACGCTCCTGCCCTAGGCCCTCTCTCGCCAGTGTCTTGCCCCAATTCGAGGCTCGCTCTTCCCAAGAATAGGTGGAGGGGCTGCGCGGTTCTCCAACACTCATCTTCTTGGCAGAAAACCGGTTGCCAGGGGTTACCGGAGCTAGCTCTGGCCGTCTCCATGGCAACTGGAGGTGCTCCAACCCCCTCAGCCTCTGGGAAGGGGGAGAGGCCTGGCCCAGCAGCTCTGTAGCCCCGCCCCTGGGCAGCTTCAGGCCCCGCCCTACCTGGGACCCCAGAGTCAAATTTCTTTGCAGCTCACCAGTGCATGCCCCCACATCCCTCATGTCTTCCCTGATGTCCCCTAAGGTCACCGCATCTCACTGTGTCATCCATTCTCTGCTTCATTATCTTTTTTACAAAAGAGGTAATGTCCCCATGTACTCCCCCAAATACTTATTCCATCTTCTCCTGCTCCCTTTTCTTCTCTGGTCTCCCCAGATTCCTCCTCTGAGGCACCCTTTCCCTCAAATTTCTCCCACTTGGGGTTTTCTTCCAAATGCCCTCATATTCCCCTCCATGTTTTCTTTACCAGCTCACCCCCAGTCCCCTCCATGTCTTTTAATCCCTTCCTCATTGTCATTCCCCCAGCTCCCCGTGACCCCCCAAGCCCCTTGACTCCCCTGTGTTGGCCCCACTGACCGCCCTTGCTTTATGCCCACATGTCTCCCTCCCGGCCCTCACACTTCCCTCCTCAGTCCCCCCACACACACTCCCCTCTGCACACCTCAGCTAGACAGCTGGGTGCTAAGTTTAGCCCTTGGCAGGCACATGCGGGCTCTGGTTACTCCAGGCGGCTGTGGGTACGAGGCTGCCCCTCCCCAACATTACCCAGTTCGGGGAATCTCTGGGCCTTAGTCTCCTCGCCCTGGAGGAGCGGCTCCCAGCTCTGATAGCCACCCACCTTCTCCCCTACAGCCCCTGGCCAAGCGGTGCCGCCTCCAGCCTAGAGATGCTGCCAAGATGCCTGAGAGCGCCTGGAAGTTCCTCTTCTATCTGGGCGCCTGGAGCTACAGTGCCTACCTGCTCTTTGGCACCAACTACCCCTTCTTTCACGACCCGCCCTCTGTCTTCTATGGTAGGGTTCCTGCGGTGTGAGGGGTGGTTCTGCTCTAAATGCTGAGAAGGGTATATGAGTGAGCCAGCACTCATCAGCCATCTCATACTGGGTGATCAAGGGGCCTTTGGGACAGGAGAGGGGGCATCTGGCCCTGTTAGGGTTCAGGAAGGCATCGTAGAGGAGATGACCCCTTGAGTGGGCCCAGGTAGGCACTCCAGGTGTCAGGAACAGGCATGCACAATCTTGGTGCATGAGAATGAGAGGAGAGTGGCAGAAGTTTGAGCATCACTCTAAATGGAATGCTGTGTGGATTATAAAAAGCTTCCTTTGGCTGCCATGTGGAGACAGCAAGGTCTTGGGTAAGGATGGTAGCAGGGCCCTAGAGGGAAGGGGAGGGACCAATGTGGTTTGGACCAGCTTGGCAAACAGATAAAGATGGTGAGAAGTGACTGCGTCCATGGATTGGGGTAAATGTGGGGGTGGTCAAGGCCTGAGCTCTGGGTGGGGTGTGCAGGAGATCGACTGCAGGGTCCTCTGTCACCAACAGGCAGGTCACCTGTGATGGGGGGTCAGGCTCCTTTGGTCCTGTGCTGACCACCCAGACTGTGTATCATGGATGTGCTTTCTGCTATGTGACAGGAACAGCCTGAGAGGGCTCCTGGTAGCACCGTTAGAAGGCTGAGAACGGAGCCCCTGCATTGCAGGGTCCTAGTACCAAGTGCCGAGGTTACTGGGCCCCAACCTGTCTTCATGGGACTGTACTGCTCACGGGGCCATTTCCCTGTGTGCATTTCCCATGTGGTGAATCTCTAGAGGAGAGGTTTCAGCTGTCATTCAATTTCCCTTTATGCAAATGAACCATAATTGAACTCTTAAAAAATTTCAGGCATGGAGTTGCCTCTGGCTTATGAATTATGCTGTTACCACATTTGCAAGTTACTGTATCTTGCCACATATGGTGTGCTCTTTGTGTACAATGTGCACCCCCGTTTTTGGCCTGAACTTTCAGGAAAAAAATCTTCTGTTTTGATTTTTTAATTCAATTATTTATTTACTTATATTTGGAAACAAAACTGATTTATCATATTCCAGAGTATTATTTTGCACATAGATATTGTTACTGCCTTTTTAGAGTTACACTTTTAACTCATAAGCATAAATGTAAGAATTTTAAACATTTATATAACCCTGGCTGGTGTGGTTCAGTGGATTGAGCACCAGCCCATGAACCAGAGGGTCACCAGTTCAATTCCCAGTCAAGGCAGATGCCTGGGTTGTGGGCTAGAGCCCCAGGAGGGGGAGCTTGAGAGGCAACCACACATTGATGTTTTTCTCCCTCTCTTTCTCCCCTGCTTCCCCCCTTTCTAAAAATAAAATAAATAAAATCTTTAAAAAAACACAAAACAAACAAAAACATTTATATAGAAACAGAATGAGTATTACCAATGTTTAAGGCACATCCTTATTTTTCCCTCAAAAATTTGGGCAAAAAAAGTACACATTAGACACAGCAAAATATGGTAGCTGTTTCTTTTTTTCTTTACTTAATCCTTAACCAAGGATATGTTTTTTATTGATTTGAGAGAGAGCGAGAAAGAGAAACATCAAACAGTTGCCTCCTGTACATGCCCCGATCGGGGATCAAACCCGCAACCTGTTTGCTATGCAGGACAATACTCCGAACAACTGAGCTACCCACCGGGGCAGTTAGCTGCTGCTTTGCATGCTCATTTTTTTGAGTGCCAGCTGTGTACCAGGCTGTGAGCAGTTCAGAGAAAACCCCTAACAGCCAGTGAAGTACAAAATCTGTCGACAGGGATAAGCACTGTTGAGAAAACTTTGGGGGGAAAGGGAGAAGTATGGGGTATCTGTGAGGGGGGTTGGGGCATTTTCTGTACCACTTGGGAATGGTCCCACCAAAGGTGACTTTTGAATGGGACCCGGAGGAGCCTAAAGCAGACAGGAAACATTCCTGGTGGATCAGGAACAGAGAGAAGCTCGCCTGGCCAGAGCACAGGGTGAGGAGGGGGGTAGGTGTGCAGTGAGGGTATTTACGAAGGTCTGGGAGCAGAGGAGGGGCCTGGGACAGGAACTGGACTCAAGGAGCCTCCAGCCTTGGGGCTGAACAGAGAAGTGGTTGATTTGAGAAATGATTTAAAGGCAGAGCTATTGCTGCCAAACCAGAGGTGGGTGTCAGAGGCGGGTGAGGACCACACCAGGATCTGGGGCCCCTCAGTGAGATCGGGGGCCAGGAAGGCCAGATCTGGGGGAGACTAGGAGCTGGATTTGGGAATCCCAGGGGCCTGATATTGGAGCTTAGGGAAGGGGATGAGGAGGAGATGACACGGGGCATTGAGAGTGACAGGTGGGACATGTATGGAAAGGAGGCTGGATGTGGATAGACAGTCCCCAGCCTTCCAGTGAAGCCTGAATTGTATGCCCCACTCTTCCTCCGCCTCAGGTCTGGGGCCCGAGGCTGGAAGGCATATGCTCACCCACTGTAAGTCTTGCTTGTGCGATAGATGGAAAATTTGGTGTCCCATTTCCACAGTGGGCTCTGTACATCGAGACACTCTGCACACCTTCCTTCCAAAGAGATACAGAGGCATCTGGCACTTGTGTGCGTCTGTGGCAGGGAAGCCTTCACCGACTGCAGCGTCCTCACCCAGCTGAGGACGGAACTCGAGGCCAGGGGTGGGCAGCTGGAACTGTGGTTTTGCCGGCCTACTTTGAAAAGCCTCTGGACATGTAAAAGTCGGGAGAGATTAGATCTGATCCTTGGGGAGTTTTGCATTTTTTATTAGGTAAAATGTTCATAACATAAAATTTACTACTTTAGCCAGACACGGGAAGACAAATACTGTGAGTCCACTTTACAAGAGGTCCCTAGAGCAATCGGCCTGAGAGAGGCGGGACGTAGGGTCACAGAGACAGGGTCGGGGGAGGGCTGGGGAGGGAGAGCCCGACGAGGACAGAGGTTCAGTTCTACAACGTGGAACGAGCTCTGGAGACAGATGGCAGGGCCACTTACACAGCAATGTGAATGTACCCAATGCGACTGAGCTTAAAAGTGGTTAAGGAGGTTGAAGTTTATGTGACCATTTGCTCCTGGTTTCTTTCACTGAACATTGTGTTTTCTAGGCTTGTCCACACTGTGGTGTGTGTCTGTGCCTTTCCTGTTTGTGGCTGAGCGATACTCCACTGTATGGATGGGCCACATTGTGTTTGTCCTTCCTCTATTGAGAGTTGTGTCCACTGTTTGGCTGCTGTGACTAGTGCCCCTGCAGACGTGCATGTACAAGTACCTATTTGAGTCCCTGTTTTCAGTTCCCTAAGTGCACGCCCAGGAGTGGCATTGCTGGGTCATGGGGTGTGTGTCTTCACAGCCTTGGAGGCCACCATGGGGAGACCGGACAGTCGGGAGCACACTCAGAGGCCTGGAGGAGCTGGGGTAGTGCTGGGTGCCCAGACCAGGTGGGGGTGGGGGTGCTGAGAAAGTGAGCCAAGATGTGGACTGAAGAGGGGCCCCCGGATAGGGGTCTGAGTGTGTTTTGGTTTCAGGAGGGGCCGTAACACAGGTGAAGGGCTGTCATGAAGCAGAGACATGAGTGGAGTCTAGGGAACAGCCACAGGGGTCACGAGGGTCTGGCTCCAGGTCATTGAGGCCGGGGTGGAGCATAGAAGGAGTGGCCAATGAACAGAGAGTCCCAGGTCAATGGGCAGAGTGCTTGGCCACATGACGGGTGGAGAACAGAGGTCGTGGGACAGCTGGGGGGCCAGTGTTACCAAGAGGGACCAGACCGGCACAAAGGCGGGCACAAGCGCCAGGAGTGGAGGAGGCCGTGTAGGGGGGCTGGCCAAGGCCTGTCTGCGGGGAGCCTGTACTCCTCAGCCTTGGCAGCGTCTCTGCTTCGGCTGCTCTGCCAGCAGCAGGGGTGGGCAGTGGCCTCCATCCACCTGAAAACTTGCCGGGGTCGGGGGCGGTGCCTGGAACAGGGACATGCCGCTGGCTGGACAATGCCTGAAAATCAGAGAAGACAGGAGGGGCAGCCAGGGCAGGAGTAGGGGCACCCTTTTCTATAAATATAAAACAGTCTTAGGAAATAATGCCTGCTCATTAAAAAAAAAAAAAGGTAGAAAACAGTGGTCATTAAACTGGCAGAGACACGTGACCTACCTGGCGTGGGGAGGACTCATGCCTGGCTTGAGAGCATGTGTGGTCACTTGGGGGCTCCAGAGGCCCTGCAGGTCTCTGACAACACGGTCTGGCTCTCCCCAGACTGGACACCAGGCATGGCGGTGCCACGGGACATTGCAGCTGCCTATCTGCTGCAGGGAAGCTTCTATGGCCACTCCATCTATGCCACGCTGTACATGGATGCCTGGCGCAAGGACTCGGTGGTCATGCTCATCCACCACGTGGTCACCTTGGTCCTCATCGTCTCTTCCTATGCATTCCGGTGAGTGCCAGAGTACAGAGGGCACTGCGTGAGCAAGGGTGGGAGGCTGGCCCAGGGAAGAAGCTACTGTCTCGGGGGAGAGGCATCCGGGTGTCCATGGGGGAGGGTTCCAGAGAGATTCCACAGGGATGGGGTGAAAAAGGTGCAGGGAGCCCCCACCCCATCCATCCTCATCCATCCCCCTCCAGCTCTGCCCGGATGGCACCCTCAGCCAGGTCACATAGCAAGTGTTTCCTGAACACCTGCCACCTGGCAGGTGCTGCTGGGAGCACAGCCACGCACACGGCAGGCAAACGCCGACGTCCTGGAGCCCCACGTGGCCATGGGGCCTGTCCCGGCTACAGCCTGCTGGTTGTTTCAAAATCCACCCCAACTTCAAAGGCAAAAGGAGTAAAAATATCTTGCCAGTGCTTTTGTTACATCCATCACATGTTGAAATGATAGTACTTAGGATATACTGTGTTAATTAGAATATATTATTTTAACTTCCCTCTATTTTTTAACATGGCTGATAGAAAACCTAAGATGAAGCATACCCTCCTGTTTCGTTCCTACTAGACTAGCTGCGCTGTCCAGTAGGTTAGCTGCTGGCCACAGGTGGCTATTTCAAATTTAATGAAGCTTAAATAAAATCACATTCTGTTCCTCAGCCACACCACCCTCACTTCAGCTGCGCAGTGGCCACATCTGGCTGGCAACTCTCTTATTGGATAATGCAGGTTTAGAACATTCCTTTTGCTCTGGAAAGTTGGATTAGCACTACTGTAGAGGGTAAAATCAGATGATAACAGCCTCCCCCTCAAAAAAGGAAAAAGAAAGGAAAAGAAGTAACAATTTGTTTGAAGGTATTAACTATGGAGAAAAATCAGGTGGGAGGATACAGGCTGCAGGGGTGGTGAGGGTGCGGTGGGGTCGCTGGGGTGACGGGTGCACGGACCGAAGGAGGTGGAGGAAGGCCTTGTGACGGGGGCAGGTGCATGTCAGGTCCGGGGACAGCATGTGCAAAGGACTTACAGCAGGAAGGCTAAGTGGGGACGGACACATGGTGGGAGAGACCCATGGCGCCCGCCTGGCTTAAGTGGCAGTGCAGGGAGCACTGGCGAGGGAGGGATGGTGGAGGTGGGCTTTCAGACCTCCTCAGATCCGAGTAGCAGTGGTGTGTTTCCTAGGCACCTGTAGCCCACAGCAAAGTTCAGGTTAATCATATAGACCTGGGAATGTCAGCAAGTGTACAGGGAATCGAGACACAGAATGACCCTGGCCTGTGAGGGTCAGGGGTTATGGAGGGTCAGAAATCATGGAGATGAGGAAAGATTAGAGAAGAACCTGTCAGGGAGGCTTCTGGGCCACGTGGGGGATGGTCAGGTGGGGATGGTGAGATGAGGACGCTGAGAGCTCAGGGGTGGTGCTGCCACCAGGTGAGTACAGCCTGGGTGCTGCCGCTGACCTGGCCCTGTGGGGAGATGGGCAGGGCAGGTGGGCCAGGGAGGGTGGCTCTGAAAGGCAGGGAAGGTGTGCCCAAGGGGCCTGTCTTCCGGGCCTCAGTGCAGAGTTTTGGACCTCCTGTGACTGGCCTTCTTTCCTCTCCTAACCTGCTTCCCTCCCCAGGTACCACAACGTGGGCATTTTGGTGCTCTTCCTGCATGACATCAGCGACGTGCAGCTGGAGTTTACCAAGCTCAATGTTTATTTCAAGTCCCGCGGAGGCACTCACCATCCTCTGCACGCCTTGGCTGCGGACCTGGGCTGCCTCAGCTTCAGCCTCAGCTGGTGAGCAGGCTGGGTAAAGAAGGGAGGGGCGGGGCTTGTGGGAAGGGGCAGGGCTTGTGGGAAGGGGCAAGCCAGGCCGGAAGGAGGTAAGCTTATGGGAATGGACGGGCCAGATGGGGGAAGGGGCGGGGCACGGCACGGAAGTGAAGGAGGTGGGGTTTGTTGGAAGGGCAGGGTCAGACAGGGAAGGAGGTGGGCCTGGTGGGAAGGGACAGAGTCAGTCAGGGACAGAGATAGGCATGGTAGGAGGGGTTGGGGCTTTGCAGGAAAGAAGGTAGGTCTGGTTAGGGGAGGTGCCAGTCAAGCAAGGGGCGGAGCTTGATGGAAGAGGAGGGCCAGTCAGGGAAAGGGTGGGGCCTGGTGAAGTGGGAGGGGCCTGGCAGGGAAGGGGAGGAGATGAATGGGGGTGGGGGGAAGGAGGGAGTTTGGGCAGTAAAGACAGAGCAGGGGCACATAAGGATGGGGCAACCAGACAAGGACGTGTGGGGATGAGCAGGGACAGATAGAAGAGGCCAGGTGGCACTAGACAGGGACTGGGTGGGCCACCCTCCCTCTCTTGTCCCACAGACTCTGTGACCTGTTCCTTCCCACCACAGGTTCTGGTTCCGCCTCTACTGGTTCCCACTCAAGGTCCTGTATGCTACATGCCACTGCAGCCTGCGCTCCGTGCCTGACATTCCCTTCTATTTCTTCTTCAACGCACTCCTGCTGCTTCTCACCCTCATGAACCTTTACTGGTTCCTGGTGAGTCGGCCTCCCACAGCTCCTTGCCCACCTGCTTCCTTAGCTGCCAGTCCATGCTGGTCCCCTTTCCCAGGGAAGCAGTCCAGGTACACACCCTTCTCAGGCATGCCCCAGGAGGGGCATGTTGGGCAACAGGAAGAGCACGTGCAAAGGGCCTGTGGCAGGAGTGCATAGCCATCAGGAGGGCAGTATGGCGTAGGAAGGCTCTCATCTCACCTGTGCCTTCCCCTCCCACAGTACATCGTGGCTTTTGCTGCCAAGGTGTTGACGGGCCAGGTACGGGAGCTGAAGGATGTACGGGAATACGATGCAGCAGAGGCCCCAAGCCCCAAGCCCAGCAAAGCTGAGTGAGTGTGGAGGGGCTGCCGCCCCGGGTTCGTTCCTTTAGCCACATCTGACAGTCTGAGCGCACACTGTGGGCAGGCCCTGGAGACACAGCAGCGGATGAAGCCATAGCGGACGCTGCCACCGGAGCCTACGTCCAAAACAAAGACTGCAGTAAAGGCGTGGATAATGTAGTGATGGAGTAAGGTGCTATAAGGAGAGGTACCGAGGAGGCAATAGGGAGGTTGAGGTTGGGCGGAGGTTGAGGTTGGGCAGAGTATGAGGGGCAAGACGCAGGGTGCTGTCAGTGATCAGTGATCAGTGAGGGCCACGCCGAGTGGCTGGCATGCTTGGTGTGGCCGGAGCAGGCGAGTGAGGGCCCTGTGGTGGTGAGGAGCGGCTGCTGGACAGGCAGTGGCAGTGGGGAGGAGGGGTGCCACAGGCCACCCACAGAGCCCATGCTCTGTCCATGCTAGTGCTCCCTGGCCCCCCAGTTCGGATGGGATGGGAGCTGGGGGCTCAGACCCAGTCCAGCCCAGGTGGGAGTCCTAGGGAAGGAGAGAAAAGGGGGCCACATCAGGCATCCTGGAGGCAGTGCACTTGGGAATTGTCAGCCCCAGGATGTGAGCCCAGTAGTGTCTGGAACCCCTGTCTTCAGGGGCCCCAGGAGTGAAGAGAGGCAGGTGGGGGTGATAAGCAGGGTCCAGAGTGTGCAGTGCCCCAAAGGCAGGCAGCCTTGCGGGTGTTTGAGCAAGTGGGGAATCGGGCTGACCAGCGGACCTCCAGTCTGGCCTCTGGGGAGATGGCTGTGGCCAACCGAGGAATGGTGGTTGTGGGGAAGCAGTGGGTCCCCCGGCTCACTGAGGTGGGTCAGGATAGCTAGTGAGGAGGATGAGAGGAGCGGGGACTTTAAAATCCCTGGGAAAGACAGAAGAAAGGAAGCAGAGAACAAGGGCAGAGAGTGGGACCAAGGGAGGGCTCTCAAGGCCTTTCCAACAGAGAAACACTTTGCACCCACCAACAAGGGGCTACAGGCAGGGTATGCCTGGGCCAGAACACCAGCACCCAGGGCAGGGAGGGCCCAGACCGTGGACAGAAAGCATAGACGCAAGAAGCAAGTGAGGTTGCCCCAGTGGTCAGATCCCAGCGCTGTTGTAGAACTGACCAGACTTGCTTTGGATGTAGGTCAAACTGAAATAAAAGAATCAAAGATGACCCAAGACTTCTGGCTCAAGCTGCCATTTACCAAAACGGGAGTCAGGCAGGGCTCTGCCTGTGGGGGGCGGGTAGGCATCTGGTACGGGGCGATGTTTGATCATCGATGTTCAGGGTCTCACGAGTCAGGAATTCCACTGAGAAATCAGTTTAGCAAGGAGTCTGCCTGACCCTCAGAGCGTCCAGCAACAGTGGTGGCTAAGACAACTCCAGGGGCAGGGGAGGAGAGGCCCTGCTAGCCAAATCTAAAAATCTCAGAGCTTTTCCTGCTGTAGAACGGTAAGCTTCTGGCGGAGAGTCCTTATACAGGCAAAGCCCAAGGCCGTACCCCCAGCCCCGCCAGTGCCACTCCTGCTCTGTCTCTCAGAGAGTGGCCAGAATATGGACTGAGGGCTTGGCACCCCGCCAGCGTCCCCTCTAGCATGGCAGAGCACACAACACGCTGCCAGGTCAACCCCGGGGCCACCACCGGCAAAACTCAATTCCCCACAGATGGCTAGTGTTAGCAGTGCTGGGCGGTCAGGATACCTCGAAGTCATCGGGTCGTGGAAAACAAGGAGACAGCGAGGACTGAATGCAGTGGGGCGGGGGGCTGGGGAGGAAGGGAGGCTGGGCGGGAGCCCTGGGCCAGAGAGAGGGCTGCCGTGGAAAACCTGGTGAGACCCACGTCCAGTCTGCCGTTTAGTGTGCAGCAGCGTCCCGGCCTCGGTTGCTCAGTGGTGGCCAATGTACTGTGAGTTGTAAGATGTTAACATCCAGGAAGCTGGTGAGAGCTGCACTGGAGCTCTCTGTAGTATCTTTGCAGCAGTTCTGCAGATCGGAAATTATTCCAAAATAAAGTTTATCTAAAAATTAAAAGGCATGATTGACCATCAGAAAAAGCATTGGACGTTCTGTTGCTTTCCTGAGGCTGTTGTACCGGGACGCACAGACCAGACAGACCAGGCGGCTTCCAGCAGCAGGATGTGCTCTCTCGCGGCTCTGGGGATCCTGGAGACCGGAACCAGGTGTCGGCAGGGGCTCCAAGGGAGGATGCGTCCCACCCCTTCCAGTTTCCGGGGCTCCAGGTGTTCTTGGCTGTGTCTGCACCACTCTGATCTCTGCCTCTTTCTTCACATGGCCTTCTCTTCTCTCGAGTTTTTTTTTTTTTTCCTTAAATGCCTTCATTTAATTATGTCTGCAAAGACTTTTTCCAAATAAAGTCACGTGCACAGGTTCCAGAGACATGGCCCTCTCTTGTCAGAGACTGCCATTCAGCCTACTAAAACTGTCAAGGCTCAGGTTAGATACCGCTGGAGAAAAAAATCAGTAAATCAAAAGCTGTGAAGAAATGACCCAGAATGCAGCAAAAACAGATGGAAACAAGAGCAGCTAGAATTTCAAGAATGACCTGGTCTAGCTGAATCCCAATAGGAGACAGGTGAGAAGAGACACTATAAGAAGACGTAATGCTGAGAATTTTCCAGAAAGTGGCAAGACAGCGGTAATAAGCAAGATGAATGAAAAGGCATCCGTGCCCCAAAAGTGATACTGAAAATGTGAAACAGCCACAGAAAAGAAGAAATGACCCACGAGGCAATGACAGCCTAACGGCAACAAGGACACAGGTGACTGTGGAGTAAAGCATCGCCACAAGTGCTAAAATGAAGCACCCAGTGACTGGGGATTTCGTACCCAATTTTAAAGACAATTCTCAAGAGATAGGAATAAACACTAAGAAGGTTGTAGTTCAGAAAACAAGAAAGCTCTCTCAAGAAGTGGATTAGCAGAGAAACTGGTATATGTCTGAATAAACATTTTTTAATAAAGAGTATTTATAGAAAGAGGGGGAGGGAGGGGGAAAACATTGATGTGAGAAACACCGATTGGTTGTCTCCTGGATGTGCTCTGATCGGGGACCGAACCCAGGCGTGCACCCTGACCGGGAGTGGATTGAACCGGCAACCTTTTGCACTGCAGGATGGCATCTAACTGACTAAGCCACACTGGTCAGGGCTGAATAAACATTTTAAATGCCTAATTTGAGAGAGATAAAATAATCAGAACTAAAATATTAAATATCAAAACAGGATTGGGTTTTTTTGCAAGAGGGCAGGATTACCTTTAGGCTGTATTAGGTAGTTATGTTAACACTATTGGGGTAACAAAAAACAGGTACAAAATAAATGCAAAAAAAGGAAGGTTAGAAAAGTCAGCATAAGTGATGCAAAGTAAGAGGGCAGAATCTCAAATATTAGGCATTTAAAGAAACAAATGAATAATGACAGCTATGAGACTGGCTTTTTTTTTGTTTGTTTTTTTTAATCTACTTTTATCTGTTAAAAGACTTCAACTCTAGGGTACATAAAGTTGCAAGTGGAAAAGGACAGGAAGAGAAAATCAGGAGTCCTTTTTTTTTTTTGCCTTAAATTTTTATTTATTGATCTGAGAAAGAGAAGCCTTGACCTGTTGCTCCACCCCTTTGCACATTCATTGGTTGATTCCTGTGTACGCCCCGCCCAGGGATAGAGCCCGCAACCTTGGCATATCGGGATGACGCTCTAACCAGTGGGGCTACCTGGCCAGGGCTCAGGTGTAATTCTTGATCTGGAATGTTCCACATGACATGGCCCTGAACGTTGGGGTGATGGAACTGTGGGAGGCACAGTTCATGGTTTATGCTCCTCACCCGGCAATTCAGAAGCAGGGTGAACAGATACTCTTTAAAAAACACAGAACCTTTTTCGGCACTGACCACAGCAAGCCACAGTGTGACTCAAAACCAGGACCGCACAGACTATAGAGATGAGAATCCAGTTAGGTTTGAAAACAGTAAGAAAATGACAACTGAGAACAGCTTGGAGGTAATTCAGGAGAGACGAACCCGACGACAACTAAATCGCACCAATCCGTTCCTCTCCCAGCCCTGTCTTCACTCCTACTTCCTCCCTCTGTTCTCTCTTTTGGTCCCCCCAACAGCTGGGCCACTAGTCATCTGGTTGACCATCCTCCCAGACCAGTTCAGCCCCCTGGGCTGTCCCCTGTGCCCTGGTCATGACCTGGCGCCTTGGTCTGAAGCTTACTATCCTCAGAGGCTTCTGGGACCGCTGACCGCCAAGGTGGCCTCACCCTGTCCTGGCTCTGTTGACCCACCCCGTGGTACGGCACTGCTTTGTACACTGTTTGCCAGCACCGCCCCTGCCGTGTCTAACGGTGTGTGACCCGCGTGTCTAGCTCATGACGAAGCGCCGGCATGGGCTGGAGGGCCCTCACTGATGCCTGCACAGTGCCAGCCTGCCTCTTTTCCTTACTTCTTTCTCAGCCTTCAGCTGCCATCACCATCATCCCCTTGACCTCCAACCTGGTCTCTGTGTCCACCTAAAATCAGAAGTGAGACATCCAGCCTCACACTGCCTGGCTGCTTCAGTGGACAGTCCATCTCCCTCCAAGGTCACCATCCAGGGCCAGGGACGTCCATCCTCTCTCCTGCTCAGGACATTCTGATCAAGGAGAGATACTCGCTTTCTCCAGCCTTCTGTGCTAGCCTGGCCCACTTCTTTCTCTCTCTTTCAGCAGCACCCCTCCGTTCTCGAACCCACCCCACTCCTGGGTCCTCCTCCCACTCCTCCCCAAGACCACTCCTGTTCGGTTTCCACAAGGCCTTCCTAGTGCTAAACCCAGGGTCACCTCCCTGTCTTTTTTTCTTTTTACAAAGTTTTCTTGAGACAGAATTCACATACTGTACGATTTGCCCATTTGCTGTCTATAATTAAATGTTTTCAGTCCATTCACTGTTGTGCAGCCATTACCATAGTCAGTTTTAGAGTATTTTAATCACCCCCAAAATCTTGCACCCAACCCAGTACCCCCTTAACATCCCCCAGTCTGTTCCCCACTTCTTGATGTCCTTCGCCCCACCTCCCTGTGCTTCCTGCTCAGTCTCTGGCCTCCCCGCCTTCTAGGGCCCTTTCACTTAACCCACCCCAGCTTCCAAGTTTCCCTCCCAGCTCCCAGGGCTCCTCTGAGCGCCATTGTGTCTCTAGCATCTGCTCGACATTCTAAGCGGAATGTCATTCTTCTAAAATACCCCAAATCTGCCCTGGCTGGCATAGCTCAGTGGATCAAGCCTGAGCTGTGAACCAAAGGGTTGCTGGTTCAATTCCCAGTCAGGACACATGCCTGGATTGTGGGCCAGGTCCCCAGTAGGGTGTATGTGAGAGGCAACCACACATTGATGTTTCTCTCCCTCTCTCCTTCGATTCTTTTCTCTCTAAAGATAAATATCCTAAATCAATGCTCATCCCCACCCCACACTCCACCTCGTGAACATCTGTCCATCACAGTGGATGGCAACTCAGCCAGAAAAGCTTGGAACCTTCAGAAACCCCAGGAAGCCCCCTGCTCCCTCTCTCCTCCTCATTCATCCAAAACCCATCCAAGTTTCTGGCTGCCTTCATCTCTGCCCTCATCTCACACCACCTTCCTCCTTTGCCTGATTCTTTCCCCACAGTGGTGCACTGAAGCTGAAAAGTCTAACTCTGATATCTAGGGAGGCCAACCCCCCTCCACTGCAGAGACACTAACAAAAGAGGAGGGATACTTGGAAACTTGTGCATAAAACAATTTGGAATCACCAGGAAGCTGATAAAAAAGCCATGGGGGCAGAGGTACCGATCCCTGAAGGAATTCAACTTACTATGAAAGTACAGGAATTAGCCCTGGCTGGTGTGGCTCAGTTAGTTGGGCATTGTCCTGTGGACCAAAAGTTGCAGGTTCGATTCCTGGTCGGGGCAGGTGCCTGGGTTGTGGGTTCAACTGGGGCCCCGGAGTGTATACAAGAGGTGGCCAATTGATGTTTCTCACATCAATCTTTCTCTCCCTCTTTCTCCTTCCCTTCTCTCTCTAAAATCAATAAGCACGTTCTTGGGTGAGGATAAAAAAAAAAGTACAGGAATTAAAACTTTGTGGGAACAGAGCCAATTCACGCTTGAGTGAATAAAAGGTCACCAGGAGGGAAGGAGGGACAGTTGGAACATGGTGGGGACACTTGGTGACCATCTGGACATTACCTGGCCTCAGCCCCCAGGGCAAACTCTGATGGATCAAAGACGTCACAGAAGTGGAAACTGAACTCCAGCTAGAGCCAGGAATGGGACCCTGTGTCATCTAGCAAACTGAACCGTGTAGAAGAAATGTCCAAAAGCCAAGAACCGCCTCCCTCTGCTTTGTCTAAGGACGAACAGGCACAGCCGAAAGACAAGGGACACATGGAGGTCTTGTCGGACTTATCTGTCACCTCACAGATAAGAGGCTCCTGCTGGTTCAGCAGAGAAAGAGCAGTGACCCGCGAGAAAAGCAGCAAGGACAGGATTAGTGTGCTCCCAGGAGAGAAAGCCAACCCAAGGGAAGGACAAATTAAAGTGACTGAGACCATCTTCTGAGGGCAAGTCTACGTTCTTATGTGAAAGGGTGTCTGCCAGTGTCGGTAAGACTACGCCCCGGGAGTGGCTAGGGTTGCGTATGGGTTTTTACACTTTCCGACGTCTAGATCATGAGAACATATTACTAGCTCAGGAAAGTTATGTAAACTAGGTTGTAGGACTCACTTCTACGGAGACCAGTAGACCGTGTGCTAAGGCATGAAGAGTTCCTGTGAGCGGGAACGGGAGTGGCCACTGGCCACGACATTAGGTTGCACTGAGATGCCATCTGGGCACCAGCCGGCCAGTTAACAGGATGAACTCTGTGCTTTGGCCCAGACGACGAGGGGCAGGGGCCAGTCAGGTGGGCCTGGGCGCACTGCCACCGGGCACAGGTCCCCTCCCCCTCAGAACCTCAGAGACTAGCAGCGGATGTGGAACATGTGGAGCGGAGCAGTGTGCACAGGAGAGACCTCAAAGTGTCACATCTTTGGAAAATCAATGACATCTTTATAGAAGTTTGAAATATGCAAACCACGCATATTTAGAAGTTAGGGGCCTTTCTCTGGGATCTAGTATATTGATTAGAGTTTTAAAATATCAAGCAACTTGTTCTAAAAACATGGAATGAAAGTAAGGGCTTCAGCAGTGTAGACAGACCACGGATGGAGAAAGAGGGGCAGCGAAGTCTGTCTTGATGGGACTGTGAGCCAGCTAGGCCACTGGAGCAGTCAGGGCTGCCCTGGACGGTGGCAGGGGCCTCTGGCCAGTTCTGCATTTTTGGGAGGAGTGGAGGATAAAAAGTGCAGGATTAATCCAGGTTGCGGCGGTGGGGTTATGTCAGGCAGAGGTGCGAACATGGCATTTGCTCTCCAGGGGCTGCCCGGGGCCTAGGGTGGGAAGGAGAGGGGGAGGGGAGGGTTTAATTGTGGGGAGAAGCCAAGGAGCTGGGCTGGAAAAAGGGATGTGGATCGCAAGGCGGACTGGATTGGATACGTGGGGGCGTGGGGTCCCTAGGCTAACCAGGGCCGGGTTCTGGTCCACAGGAAGCCGCTGAGGAACGGTTTGGTGAAGGACAAGTGCTTCTGAACCCTTCGACTCCCGCCCGACCCCCAGGACACAGCCCCGCCCAGCCCTGCCCCCTGAGATTGCTATGCTGCTCCCCCGACCTCCAGCTGGTCCAGCTCCGCCCCTCCCGGCCCGGACCACTCCTGGGACCCCGGTCCCGCAACCCCGCCCCGGGATCGGTCCCTGCTGGGCTTCAGGACCGAGGCCACGCCCCCCTGGACCCTGCCCCTGCCCAACCCCAGACGCCTAAGCACTCGTCTGGTTGCCGCCTGTGAGGAAGATGCCACTGTTGCTCCGCTGTCCCGACCACCACGTTCTTTTCCTCCTCCTGGCCCTGCTGCTGCCCTCGCTGGCCCCGGCCTGCGCCCCTGCAGCCCCAGGCCCCGCCGCCGCTCTGCTCCAGGCCCTCGGGCTGCGTGACGCGCCTCAGGGTGCCCCCAAGCCCCGCCCCGTACCCCCCGTCATGTGGCGCCTGTTCCGCCGCCAGGACCCCCAGGAGGCCAGGGTCAGCCCACGACGGACGTCCCCGGGGGCCACCCTACGACCTTGCCAAATGGAAGAGCTGGGGGTTGCTGGGAACATCGTGCGCCACATCCCGGATCGAGGTGAGTGGGGCGGCTGAGACCCCTCCTTGGGCGCCCCAGCGCACCATGAGCTTTCAGCGGCCGAGGGTCCCTACACACCCAGTGGAGTCAGCCCAGGAGCAGCCTGGGTCCCCGTACTCCATCCGTCATCCCCATGGACACCTGGGGGGACCAGGGAGAGTGATCACAAGGCTGCGAGGCCTTGCACCGGGCAAAGGCCCAGGCTTGCCGCTGAAGCCCTGCCCCCACTCTCCCCCACTCCTGCTGCGTCACACCATTTGAAGCCTTGCTGCAGATGACACCTCGCTCCAGCATCGCTTCTTCAGGCGCTTGTTCATGTCTGCCCCCTGCCTGTGCTCCCCACACAGACAAGCCACCCTGCATTGGGCAGATGTCTTCTTTGCAAGTGATGCCCCGCCCCCACTCCATCCCACCCCCTCCTTCACACCCCTTGACGCTTTATAACAGATGGTTTACCCTCAGTCCCAGGCGTTCACCTTTCCCCCATCTCCCCAACCTAAAACCCCTCGAGCACCGGCGGGCACTGCGCTGGGGGCGGGGGAGGGTAAGGATGCAGCGAAAGCTTAGCCCTCTTCTGGCCTTCCTAGGTACGCGCAGCCGGATCCCGGAGCCCGCGGCCGCAGGGCAGTGTTCGAGGTGGACCGTCGTCTTTGACCTGTCGGCTGTGGAACCCGCAGAGCACCCGAGCAGAGCCCGCCTGGAGCTGCGCTTCGCGGCAGAAGAAGCGACGATGGGGACGGAGGGTGGCTGGGAGCTGAGCGTGGCGTGGGCGGCCGAGGGCACGAATGTGGGTCCGGTGCTGCTCCGCCAGGCGGTGGTCTCGCTGGGGATGCCAGTGCGCGCGGAGCTGCTGGGCGTCGCCTGGTCCCACAACACCTCAGTGCCACGCAGCCTCCATCTGGTGCTGGCGCTGCACCACCGGGCCACCAGTGCCTGCGTGCGCCTGGCCGAGGCCTCCCTCTTGCTGGTGACCCTTGACCCGCGCCTGTGCCACCCCGTAGCCCGGTCGCGGCGTGATGCCGATCCCGTGATGGGTGGTGGACCCGGGGGCTCGTGTCGTGCGCGGCGACTCTACGTGAGCTTCCGCGAGGTGGGCTGGCACCACTGGGTCATTGCGCCGCGCGGTTTCCTGGCCAACTACTGCCAGGGACAGTGCTCGCTGTCCGCCACGCTGCCTGGGCCCAGTGGGCCACCCGCGCTCAATCACGCGGTGCTGCGCGCGCTCATGTACTCGGCTGCCCCCGGCGCCGCCGGCCTGCCCTGCTGTGTGCCCGCGCGCCTGTCACCCATCTCCGTGCTCTTCTTTGACAACAGCGACAACGTGGTCCTGCGGCACTATGAGGACATGGTGGTGGATGAGTGCGGCTGCCGCTGACGAACAGGCGTGAGCGGGAACACAATAAACACTAGGTGGTTTGAGCTGCGCGTCTTTCGGTTTTCTCCTCCGGGGCGGGGCAGGGCCTGCTGCATCCATCCGATGGACATCAGGTCGGTGGAGACGGGAGTCGTATAATGGTGCCATCTACCCTCTTAGAGCGCTATAGCCAGGTGGCTCTACATCTAAGGGGGCCCTGGGAGTCCTGCCCAGCCCTGCAAGCACAGGTGCAAGGGGCATAAGTGCCCCCTCGTCCCCAGTCTGTAGACCCAGCCCTTCTTACACGTGCCCTTGAAGCAGTAGGCCCCAAATCAAATGCTCTCCCACCCCTGCAGTTTAGCAGCCCTGTGACAGGCAAGAGTTGTTTTAACATTTTATTGGTGACAAAAGAGCTTAAAACAAATTGACCAAAAATCAGAAGTGACATTGCCTTAGTACAGATGTTCCTTGATTTGGAAAACTCAAAGTAACTGCTGCTAGAAGGTGAACAAAGCCAACAGCAAAGGGCGAGGTAGAGCACTCCAAGGAAGGAACAGGGAGGTGGACAGGCACAAAGGGTCGCAGCAGAAGCCTATCCAAGCCCAATGCCTCCAGGCGGCCTACCAAAAGGGGACCAAAAGCCTAGCAATGGGAATAAGAGGGCTTGCCAGAAGGTGCCTGTGTATCCCTGTCTCCATTTACCAGATGGCACCTGGAGGCTTTAGAATAAGGGCCAGTGCCAGGCGCATGGGGAAAGGATGCTAGGGCATCACTGTCACTAGGACCTGGGTAGGCAGGAAACGGTCCTCAACTGGATGGTCACCAAGGAGACTAACACCTACCCTCAGAGGGCCTTTCCCAACTATAAGAATTTCCTCAATGTAGACCCAGGTCAATGCCCGTCTGTATCAGCTGAAGTGACATACTCCTCCACGCACCTTCAGCACAGAATCAACTTATTTCTGAAACTTCTTTTCCCAAATAAAAGTAGAAACCACCCCAACTCATTGAAGCTATGCACACAGATAGAAGGGCTCCAAGTCTGGGAGTGGGGTGGAGGATAAGGGGGGCAAGGTGCTCAGCTTCTCTGATGGCTGCAGGGGCTGAGGGTGCCTCCCTGGATAAAGATCTTAGCTGATGTCTTCTGCCAAATCCTCAGGAAGGACCCTGGGGAAGAAGACACTGGGCGAGGAACAACCACCTTCCTGCCCTCTGGCCTCAGGGCTAGCTCTGCCCAGGCCCTTCAGGGGACTGAGTCCACTATATGTGAGAAGTGCCTTTCTTCTCTGGAGTCCAGTGGGGCCCATGGGCCCAAGTGACATTTCTTCACTGCCCTGATGCACAGGGAGAAGCTGCTAGAAACGAAACGGGAAACAAAAATCTTCCTCTCCGCAATCACGTCACAGGTGTTCATCCTAACCATGTGGCTCGATTAAACTTCGTTTCTGGAAGCTTCTTGCATCTCCCAGGTCCAACCACTAAGATTTGAGAGATGAACTCAGTATATTTTTCAGTACTCCTTTGAAATAATCTTTTAAAAAACAAACAGAAAACCCCAAACACCGTATTTTCTTTAAATGAAAACCCTCTAGCACACAGGCAGCGTGACTGCGAGGTCTCAGACGGCATGGACGGAACCCACGCCTCGGTGGGGCTCTCCAAGCACAGCTGTAAGGAGCCTGCTCAGCACAGAAATGCGAGTTGTTCCTGGTAAAACGTAGTCCCCTTTCAATAAAAGAGAAAAAGAAAGAAAGAACAGAGGAAAGGGCTACTCTGAGATGAGGGTCTTCCTCCCTCCACCTGGTCGAAGACCCAGGTATAGACACGGCGAGCTGGGCCTCCGTGGCGAGCGGGCTGCAGGGCTCTCCAGGGCTCTCGGGAGGGCCGGCCCCACCTCCGCTCTCCCTCTGTCTCCTCGCCGCAGTGCCAGCAGTGGGCACTATCTCGGGCTGCTCTCCCTCGGGTGCTCCTCTCCCTCTCCTGTTGCTCACAGTGGTGCTTCAGTTTTAGCAGTGGAAAACAGGTATCCTTTTATTTTTATTTTTTATTACCCAGAGTAAGATGCTGATGGACTAAGCCACATAGCTTAGCTCTTCTGCCACCACCTGCAGAGAGGGAGGAAGGGCAGAAAGCTGTCAGAGAAGGTGGGAGCCTGCCCCCACCTCGAAGGCAAGGGGCTTTCTCTCCATTTCCACTTTGCACCTATGGTCTCACCTGCAGAATGGGAGCTCGGGTGCTGGACAGCCCTCAGACTAGTGACTTCCCAACCAGCGAGAAGGCAGCCAAGAGCCAAGGCTGGAGCCTGTGCTGACACAGTGGCACGCCTCCTCCCTGCAGCACCAACACCCAGACAGATGGGAACCGCAGGGAAGCTACAGCTCCGACAGCCACCTATGGCGCCTCTTGCAGAGGAGTGCTCCCCGTGCACTTAGCGCTGGGGTCTGCCGCCCTCATGAGTTCTCAATCAGAGCAAGGATGCATCCTCCTTCCTGCCCGCCGGCCCAGGAGGCTATGGGCCGTCACATCAGATTTTCTCAGGAGTTTTAGGACTCTCAGCAGAAGATATGACACAGGGACCTGAACTTAAAGGTCACACGATGACCTGGCCCCTTGGGGACTTGAGACTCCCACCACATTTCCTGAGTTTTCCCACAAGCTTAGGTCCGGGTGAAGCCCTCCTCTGGGGTTGGCTTGCCTTCTAGTACTGGGACAGCCCCGTCACTCCACCATGCTGGTATGCCCGCTCTCCCTGGTACGTAGAGTCTTGCGACAGCGCCACATCAATCTGGGACTTAAACTCATCACCAAGGTAACTGTCCTGAAAGACACAGTTGGGAAGATAAGCAGCCAGCAAACTGGCTCCCATCCTTGAGAATCTGCTGTGTGTCCAGCCCTTCCCCAGCCCAGAGACGAATGTGAAAAAGTGGTCCTCAAGCCTGAGGAACAGAAAACTCCCAGTTTATGTCACTACTGAGACAGGTGACCCAGGCCTGTTTGAAGGGACAGTGTTGTGGATGGGATGTTCTGGACCCACAGTTCCACCGCTGAGGGCAGTCATGAAGGAGGCTATCCTCCCCCGAGTCCTTGGGAGGTACTGTGGGGTGGGTGTGGAGGGCACCCTGGGCTGGCTAACTTTCTGCAGGTGTAACGTGCCACTTCCAGTGAGGCCAGCTCACCTGGGACAGCTCAGGCTGGGAGAGGCCAGGCTGGCTCATCTGGGAGGGCTGGCTCATGGAGATGTAGCCCTGCGTCAGGGCACCCTGAGAGAAGGGCTGCGATGCCACATCCTGGCTGGCCTGGCTGCTGGGCAGGTTCGTCTGGCTGGGCCCAGGAAGCCCAAACCGGTTCTTCTGACGTCCTCCACGACCCGTCTTACCTTTGGGGGTGCCCCGGCCTGAAAGACAGTGTTCAGGGTTCCTTGAAGGAGGTCTGAGCCTCACAGACAAGCAATAATGCTCAAGGGCTTAGTGCTTACTCACCTGCAGCTGGCCCATTAGCCTGCCCAAAGTACCCTGGGGGTGGCATTGGTGGCATAACCAGGTTGAAGGGGATGGGAATGTTCATGGCGGCCACGTGGCTGGGGCCAGCACTGATCATGCCAAGCTGGTCGTGGGTCTGGAAGTACATGTTTGAGGGACGTCCTGCAAGACAGGGTGGATGGCAAGTTCCCCACAGTGTCCAGGTGAGCCTGCTGCCCACTCCCAGTCAACTATTCTGCCGACAGTGGAATGGTGGTCCCGTCCTGTCACTGTTCTGCCTGTGGTTCTTGGGGTGATCCCATGGCAGAGCCACCTGCTGCAAATTCTCACTGCCAATCCCCTTCCAACCTGCTGAGGGATGGTGCTTAAGAAACCCCCTTTTCTCCCAAGGGATTCTGGGAACCATGACTCTATGAACCCGAGAAACTGAACTACCACACAGTACTTCAAACAAAAAGTCCTTTTTGTGCCAAATTTTATGATCATACCACATGCACACTACACACACAAAACAGAACGCCTACGTCCACAGACCAGCAGATCCGCTGAAGGCAAAGGTCCCTGGGGCAAGGACCTGAGAGCGTGGCCTTCTCAGTTGGCTCCTGAGGACTCGGGAAGGAGTATGGGCCTTGGACACCCTCAGCTACACAGCAATTTGCTGGATGTGGTGGTGAGATGCCTGCTGTTGTTAGAGAACACCGTCCACAACCTGAGCCCAGCAGCCCAGCAGCCCTTTCTATGGCAAAGAATGGGAGCTGCCAAGGTAACAAGTCAGAGGAGAAGCTGGGGTACACCTCAAGATGGATAGTTAGCCCTGGCTGGGTAGTTCAACTTGTTGGAGCGTCTTCCCAATACACAAAGGTTGTGGGTTGATCTCCCATCAGGACACATACATGAATCAACCAATGAAGGCAAAAATAAGTGAAACAACAAACTGATGTTTCTCAGATCTGAAAAAGAACAGACAGCAAGCACATGAGGGGACAAAGCCCAGAGCAAAAAAGCAGGCAGGTGACAGTGAACTGAGTCTCTGGGCACAGTGGTAGGGAAGGGTCCAAGGAGGCAGGGACCTGGGGAGTGAACAGGAGCCGTCTACAGACAGGCTCGGCAGGAGGAGGTGTATTGTAAGCAGCAAGGGTCAGAATCAGCCTTAGAATATACACAGATTCCACACAGGAGACTAGAACATGCACCAAGCTCTGAGTTCTGGCACAGCAAGTGGAGGCTTCAAGGAGGAGGCAAAACCTGAAAAGAGGTTGCAGGCCACCTGGAAGAACTGCAGGCGTGACTTCCCATTGAAAAGGGCAGGTGGGGTGGAGCTCTGGGGCAAACAGGCAGAGCTGTGTTATTTAAAAACATCTTGCTCTTAGGAACTGCCAAAGACCAACTCTTTGATCTCAGACAGGGGAAGCTGAGAAGGAACTCGTTGCCAGGTAGGTTTCTGTGGACGGACGCAGTACAGGCGTGAGAAGGGTCAATATACCCAGTGCCGGTCCGGTTTCCCACAGAGAGGACTTACCCTGGCTGCTCCGGTCGTAGACTGATCCTGGGATGATGGCCTCCCGGGCATCGTACATGGCTGTAGTCATGAAGCGGGCTCCCTGCAGAGGGTTTGGGTAAGTGAGGAATGCCACCCTTCTCTCAATGACCTGGTTCAATCTTTGGCTTCAGTTCAAGCAGCATTGTACCCCTCCACCTGTGTCTGACTCCAAGATGCCCCCAGGACTTAGTATCCCACACATCCCAGCCCTCAAGACACTGGTGTGGGGGGCAAGTACACACTGCTTCTCTTCACACACTGACATGCGCACACTTGCCACAGGCCACACCGGCCACTGCTCACTGCCAGGTGCTAAATCGTGGGCTTGGGGAAAAAGGAGTCCCAGCCCTCCCTCCCATCAGCCAGGCTCACAGGGTTGATGGTGTTGACCAGCTTCCGGGGCTTGCTGAACTGCATGAGACTCTCCCGCAGGTTGTTCAGGGGCCCCTCCACCAGCACTTTCTGCTCCTTATAGTAATTCAGCAGGTGGTTCCACAGTGGCTGCTTGGACAGAGCCTTGGGGTTGCCTACAATGATGACCCCATATCTGCAAGATGTGGGTGCAAAGAGTGTGGTGTTTAGGGCCACATGGAAAGCAAACATGCAGAACAGTCTGAAGCTAAACAAATTCAAAACCCAAGTCCAAAGTTCCTGGGGGCCAGCCTCTGCCTCCCTGCCCAGAGTCTGGCCCGCCCATGACGACAGGCACGGGAGCCCTCCCTGCAAGTTGCTTACACGGCACTCAGTTTATTTGGGGGCAGATTTTCAGGGGCTCAAGCCAAACACCCCTGTGGGCAGCACAGCTCAGAGACTAGATTCCTTGTTGCAGCGTCAAGTCAGCTTTCTGAGAGGCTACAGGGGCCCTGAAAGGAAGGGCATGTAAGCCTGGGCCTCGCTTCTGTGGACACTCACCCTCACCCAGTGGCGTCAGGGACGTGCGCCCAGGCTGGCCACCTAACAAGATTATACCACAGAAAGGGGGTAATCCTGAGAGCCAAGTGTCCTGGGTGGGGCAAGGAACTGATGTGAGAAGGTGAGCCTGACCTCTTGCTGGCACAGGGGCAGCCTGGGGCCACCCTGTTCTCCAGGTCCCTTCTGTCCTCTTACCACGATTTCAGAGCAGTTATACCCAAGAGGCAAAAAGAAACCAGGACCAAAATGTTAGATTTGTGGGTTCAAAATTCAACAGGAACACACCCCTGGCCCTGGGTTTTAATCTCAGGTCAAAAGGGCCGAGACTGATGCTATTCATGAAATGAGGGCACAGAAAACCATCAGGACACAGAAATCCACAGGTGAGCCCTTCTTTCTAAGTTTCTGCTGAAGCCCTTGGACCTCAGGCATTGGCAAGCCCTCTCCCATGCCTGTGCTGTCAGCCCGAGGTGCAGCTGGGGTGTGGGGGTTATTAATGAGAGCACCAGGAAGTGCAAACCCTCCAAGAGCCATATACTGAGCCCAAGTCCTTCTGAAGGACCCTAAAGCAGGATGGTAGCATCTGTCACTGGCATGCTAGCCCAGACAGGACTCAGCCCTTGTACCTTGCTCGGGTCAAGGCCACGTTAAGCCGCCTGGGGTCGTTTAAAAACCCAATGCCTTGGTGCTCGTTGGCTCTCACGCAGGAGAGGATGATGAAGTCCTTCTCACGTCCCTGGAATGCATCCACGCTGGCAATTTCCACCTCCTGCAAAGGATACATGGTCATGGTCAACCAGCAGGCTGCCCTCAAGGACCTGTAGACTTCACAAAGCACACCCAAATGCATCACTGAATCCCACCCAGCAGCCCTGTTCACAGACTTGCTTTCCTGGTTTTCCTTCTTTGGTTGTCTTTTCCATCGCAGTCATTTGTTTCCAAATAGTAAAAGCATAATTGCTCAACAAAAACCCAAGACTGTTCCCCAAGTTACGTGTCACTGTCAGAGACATTACCCTGCATTCTGGTTCATTTCCACACGGAGAAATAATGATGTTGTCCTGCAATGTCATGACAGATGCACCTGGACACTTTACCCAGGTGCTGACCCAAGAGCTGGCAGTGTTCTCATGACTATACTTGGCAGCACAAATTAATTACAGCCCTACTGGGCAACTCTGGAGCCCTTTCAACATTGATTTAGAAAGTATCCTGAGAAAAACACTTTTATGCATGAACCTTGGCCCACATTTCTGACCCTTAAGGCAAAGTCTTGATGTGCAGGGCAAGGGCAGAAAAGACAGTGATAATCGAATGCAAACTTCCCCAGCTAGGCGGTCCAGGTCAGCCTGGCAGGGGAGGACAGAGCTCGTACCTGGTATAGCTTGGTGTGCAGGGAGCCACTGAACTGCATGTACTGCACCAGGTAGGACCGCTGGCCCTCATAAGGTGTGATGATACCAATCTGGTCCGGCTTGGCGCCTGCCTTCAGCAGCTTCGTGGTGATCTTCTCCACGTTTGCAGCCTCCGTCCTAAGGAAACCAGGTGTTCAGTTCCCAGGCTGCACCTGTGGGCTCCTGAGTCCTGAGGCTGTGGGAGGCACAGGGGCAGCTATGCCCACAATGGGCCACCCTGTCGTGAACCGAGGGAGTCATGGAGAACAGAAAAAGTTCACACACATGGGCACAAAAAGAATCTGCTCAACATAAGAACTACACTGGAAAGCAAAATGAGAACATGCTGTGGGCTGAGAAACCTGAACAGAACAAAGCGAGGAGGGCAACTGCAACCCAGCATTACATACACTGGTCAACAGCTTGGCCAAACTGCCACCAAAACCAGCAGGTGCAGCGGGCAAACCTCAGCTTACCTGTTCAGGTAGGAGGTACCCGAGCTGGCTATCTCTTCCTGGCCCTGGGTCACATAGAAGAACATTGGCTTATCAGGTTGGGGCCACTGGAAGTCAAACCCCTTCTTCACTCGATCCGCTGTCACAGGGGAGGGAAAAGAGGCAACACTTCTCATTAGAGAAGAAAAACCTAGCCAGAGGTGACCTGAACAGGTCCTCTGCTCAAGGGGCCAGGACTGAGTGAAGCCTTGCATACAACAGAGCCACTCACTACCTGAACATGCCTCCCTGGTCAGTACTTTTTTTTTTTTTTAAGATTTATTTTTAGACGGAGGAGAAGGGAAGGAGAAAGAGAGGGAGAGAAACGTCAGTGTGTGGTTGACTCTCAAATGCCCCCTACTGGGGACCTGCCCCGCAACTCAGGCATGTGCCCTGACTCGGAATTGAACTGGTGACCCTTTGGTTCTCAGGCCAGCACTCAATCCACTAAGCCATACCAGGGTTGGTCACTACTTTCTATATCTAGTTTAAGAAATCTATGCTCACCTCCATGAAGACATTCTCCTGTTTCCTTCTAGAATTTTTATTGCAGTCCTCACAGGACCCAGAAGCCCCTACAACTGGCTTTTGTGGATGACAATGTTGAACAACCCGCCTGGTCACAGACCTGGCTGAAGGAGCTACGTCTAACTAGCCCATCAGTGTGAGGAAACTATTATTTCCGTATCACAATATCCTAATGTTAACATACAAGAATACACGGTATAACACCTTTCATGTCAAGCTGAAAATGAGGTCAACTCCATCTCTATTGTTCAAGAGAGGATAGACACCAGCTGGTGAGTGTAGTGGCCTGTTAGTCTAGAAGCTCCTGGCAAACATTTAATGCCCAATGAGGTTGGGGCTGATCTGTACCACCTGCCAACTTCTGTGGTGTAAATACTCCCACCACAGGTGTCAAAATGCCCCAATTTAGCAGGTCTGGGTGCTAGTACTACCCTAAACAGGGGCTCCTGGAGACTGGGCAGGTGCTGGTTATACAGGTGTGTTCACATAGTGAAAGCACACTAAGTTGAACAACACTTAGAGTTTGGGTGCTTCTTCACACTTCAGTAAAGAACTTTAAAAATAGCCCTAGCTGGTGTGGCTCAGTGGATTGAGTGCCAGCCTGCATTTCAAAGGGTCGCCGGCTCAATTCCTAGTCTAGGGCACACGCCTGGGTTGCAGGCCAGGTCCCCAGTAGGGGGATCCTTGAGAGGCAACCACACATGGATGTTTCTCTCCCTCTTTCTCCCTCCCTTCCCCCCTTTCTAAAATAAATAAATAAAACCTTTTATTTATTTTTAAAAATATACTAATTGGCCTCGACTAGTGTGGCTCAGTGGGTTGGGCATTGTTCCATATACCAAAAGGTTGCCAGTTTGATCCTTGTCAGGGCATGTGCCTGGATTGTGAGCCAGCCCCGAGGTAGGGGCATTCAAGAGGCAACTGACTGATGTTTCTTGAACACATCGAAGTTTCTCTCTCTCCCTCCCTTCCCCCATCTCTAAAAATAAATAAAATATTTAAAAAATATATACTAATTGGGTGCTATCATATGCTGGGCACTGATTCCACAGCAATGAACCACCACTGTCTCTGAACTAGGGCTAAGCGGCAGCTTTCCAATGAATGCCAGCCACACTGGAGAATCATAAGCTCCTTATGACTTGGCCTTTCCCAGCCCCAGCATCCAATGGATCAGTAGCATCCTAAGAACTGTGGTGAGGACACCTGTGGTGAGAACAGCAGTAGCAACACCTGGACCTCCATGCATGGCAACTGTGTGGCCCTGGATGGGCATGCTATCAACCTCTTCATCTATAAAGTGGGGCTACTGGTGTTAACAACACACTAAGTCAGTGGCTCTCAAATACTGGTCTCAGGGCCCCCATAAACTCTGAACAGAGTTGAAGAGGCAAAACAGTTACTGTTTCCATCTGCTGACAGTTGCTCTATTTTAAAACCTAAAAACTTAAAATATCCATTACTTCACTTAAAAATAGACCCATTAGGCCCTGGCTGGTGTGGCTCAGTTGGCTGAGCATCATCCCGTTCCTGTAGACTGAAAGGTCACAGGTTCAATCCCCAGTTGCGATGTCTACCAATCAATGTTTCTCTTTCACATCAATGTTTTTCTCTCTCCCATCCCCTCTCTAAAAGCAATAAAAAATATGCTCAGGTGAGGATAAAAAATAATAAATAAAAAATAAAAATAGGCCCACTGGCCCTGGCCTGGTAGCTCAGTTGGCTAGAACGTTGTCCCAACACACCAGGCTTGTGGGTTTGATCCCCAGTCAGAACATACACAATAATCAACTAATGAACACATAAGTAAGTTGAACAAATCGATGTTTTTCTCTCATCTCTCTAAAATCAACAAATTTTAAAAAATCTAATTAGCTGTGGCTGGTGTGACCCAGTGGATTGAGTGCCAGCCTACGAACTGAAAGGTCATTGGTTCGATCCCCAGTTATGACATGTCTGGGTTGCGGGCCAGGTCCCCAGTTGGGAGGTGAATAAGAGGTAAGTGAGATACATCGATGTTTCTCTCCTTCTCTTACTCCTCCCTTTCCCTCTCTCTAAAAATAAATAAATAAAATCTAAAAAAACAAAAACAAAACAAAACATTTTTTTCATTAAAAAAAGGCCCATGGGGGTGGGGGGAGTTACAAAACAAAACTGAAACAAAATCCCGTTATGTATTAACTTTAGGGGGTTTTTTTCTTAAACAAAATTACCGTATTTTCACCCTGTCTGGGGTGGCTCAGTGGCCAGCCTGCAAACCAAAGGATCGCTGGTTCAATTCCCAGTCAGGGCACACGCCTGGGCTGCGGGCTAGGTCTCCAGTAGAGGGTGTGCAAGAGGCAACCACATAATGATGTTTCCCTCTCTTCCCCCCATCTCTAAAAATAAATAAAATCTTCAAAAAAATTATTGTATTTTCCACTAAAATATAAACTTAGTGAATTTGTGCAACTTATTATGCCATCTGACTCACTGGGATCTGCTCCTGCACTTGGCCTCCAGTGAGCCAGTGACATGTTTTATAGCCTTTCCCACAACTGTGGGATTCATCCGATTCTCCACCAAAGCAGGTTGGGAGATGCCCTGAAAGTCTGTGCTGAGCGCCTGTGCTTTGGACAGCCTTTGACCTGAGTGACTTTTGCAACATGCTCACTAGCTCTTGAGATGAGAAGTATTTACTGACTCAAAACATCGTCACCACTTCAATCTCATCAGAAAAACCACTTAGCATCGGGAACACTTGGTCAGCTCATCCTAGGGGACATGAGTTTTCTAAAATACTAATTCCGTTGCATCCTCAGATTTTATCGCTGGTGATAAATATTGTCAGTTGTTTTCCTTGAAGCCACAAGCTTGCTTTGTTTCCAGGAAAATGCCTGACAAATACACCCTATTCTCAACCACCACTGTGTCTGTGAGCCCTTCATTCAAGCACCTTGCATACCCACCAGTGTCACAAAGATATGTACTTAGGGTACTGCTTGCCATGAGCATGTGGCAGTGATGACACACAGCAGTCTGGTGACACCATCCAGACTGATGCTGAGGTCCCCACTGACGCCCAGCACTGTTTCTGTACTCAGTGTCAGCACAGTGAAGGGTACCTGCCAGATTAGTGTCACTCTGAAAGAAGTCTTTACCCTGTTTTATGTACCCCAGGGTATGGGCTCTGAAACTGGCTACCCCACACACCAGAGTGGACATGCTGTCCTGCTGACCATGGTGACTCTCAGAAGTGGCCCCCACATACAAGTGGCTACTAGGTGAAGCCACTCAGGAAGGAACTGACCGTAGGTTTCACATACCCCTCATCTGCCCTCTGCTGAGTATTACCTGCAGTGACACCGTTCTGCAGAGATCCCTCATAGAAGATGTTGGATGGGAAGGCACTGAGTGCAGGGTGCATCCGATACTGGACTTGCAGGCGGATTGGACGAATGCCCAGCACCACCAGGCGTTCAAACAGCGACTGAGACAGCCCTGCCTTGGCTGCCTTCTTGCACATCACCACAGGGCCCAGCTGGCAGTGGTCACCCACGAGGATCAGCTGTTATACGAGAGGCCCACACAGGTGAGAGGTTCAAATATGAAGGAGCTTCGATGTTTACTCTCAGAAGGCTAAGAGGCTTGGGGTCCACATATGCCCCAACCATGTCAATTCCAGTAGTAAGATACTGACTGGGCATGGGAAAGCTGCCCACTACAGACATGAAACACACCGAAACTTGCACTCAAGACCCACACAGAGGCACCCTCAAACGGCTCACCACACATCCCTGGGCTCTGCCAGGGTGTCACACAGCCTCAAAAGGACATTAAAAAACCCAAACTTTCAGCATTAAGAATTATAGAGAACTAGAACAAGAGAGAATGCACAACCAGTTTTCAAACAAGACCACAATGGAAGTGGCAGGGCCCACCTGCTTGGCTCCAAGGACCACAGGGACCATGCACTCTGGCTCTGTGGCCTGGGTGCTCTCGTCGATTAGAATGGAGCGGAATTGCATCTTGGCGAGCCTGGGGTCTCCTGCACCCACACACGTGCAGCAGATGACATCTGCGTTCTATGGAAGAAGAGTATGTGAACATCAGAAGCATCTACAACAGTACATGTTACCAGGCCCAGAGGGGCAGGCAAGCAGGACAGGACAGGACACCACTATGGTCCCTACAGCCACAAAAACAAGCTGTCTCTCCTTGACAGTGATCACTGTCCAGGCTGCAGTGATATGGAACTTTAAGATCCTAAGCGGTGGGGCCTTACCAGAGAAAACCTCTCAGTGTAGATGGCTCAGTGCTTGAGACAGCCTCCAAGGGGCAGTGCAGAGCCAGGGGACAGGTGCTGGGCTGGGATCCACTTTTGCTTGGTTTGTCAAAAAATAGCAAACCCACTGGGGGGGGGGTGGAATGCAGATCAGGATCCCAAGCTCCCAGAAGCAGGGGGGCTGGCAGGGAGTAGAAACTACTAAAAAATCATGTCTGTGTATTCTCAGAAAGCAAATAAAGTAGGGTATCTAAGCTTTCTTCCAAAAGCAAGTAACAACCTGACTAAAAGTGCCACTGTATGCCCAGATGCCGCCCTGAGGCCCAGGCCCTCACCATGAGCAGCTCCCTTTCAGCTGTGCGCTTCAGGGCTCGGTATCGCTTCTCATCAGCAGACGACAGCTCCCCAGTCTCGTCCTTGAGCTGCTGCAGCTTCTGGAGCTCTGGCATGCTGGAAGCACGGGGTCATGTCAGTGGGCATGAAGGACTGTGTGCCAGGGCCGGAGAGGAGACCCACCCCTCTCACTTGCAGCGAGGTACCTGATGACACCCACCTATCCATGTTCCTGATCTGGTTGTGCAGGGCCAGGAATGACACCGGGGAATCGATGGCTTCACGGCTCTTAGCGCAAAGCCGAACGACTTTCAGTCCTGTCTGGTGGATCTTCTCAGTCAGCTGATCCACAGCTATGTTACTTGGAGCACAGACGAGCACAGGCCTTTGACATAAGACAAATGAACGTCTCAGTGCTCACCCAGAGGAGAGTCACAAAATGCTAAGTACCAAGGCTGTTGTGTTGAACCATGGGCAGTGCAGACAGCTCAAATTTAAAATTAAAGCTAGGGACGACACAATGCAGAAGACACTAAAAACTCAAGCCAGTCCAGAGCTTCCTGTCCCTACCCAGCTTTCACTCTACTTGTTCAAAGCACTGCTAATAAAAGACCTCCATCCTCACCCCTCCCTCCTCGTCTCACGGAGACGACTTTCCAAGTTGAGGTACATATAGCACAACACCCTGGGGTAAACCGACCAGTGCCAGCACAACTGTAGGAGCATCAGACTAGCTTGTCAAAAGCAACCAGAGGCCTGACCTAACACAAAACAATGTAAAACACAATGAGCAGATAACCTTCCCAAGATGTTCTGCAGTCAGGCCCTCGGACCCCTACCCGTTGCCCTGCCGTGCCAGGTGGTAGACAATGGTGGCTGAGGTCACAGTCTTCCCTGTTCCTGGTGGTCCCTGGATCAGGCTCAGTGGTCTCTGCAGCACAGTCTTCACGGCGTAAACCTTCAGATACAAGTGGCCGTTAAGGATGCAGATGCCCTGGGGCCCCCACACAGCAGCTCCCCGTGCCAGGCCCTGCCCACCCCCAGAATGGTGAGAACCTGAGAGTGGTTGAGGTCAGGCAGCCCCTGTGCTGTGAAGCGCTTGGGCAGCTGGCACTTGATGATCACATCCTCCACCTCATGGCCGAGCAGTTTGTGGTAGATATAGCCCGACACCGAGGTCTCATCCACAGCAAAGGTCTTCAGTGCACTCTGCATCCTGTGGGGAAATGATAGGTTGGCCACATGTTCACTGGACTGGTGGTCACCAGGTCACCACAGGAAGGGAGACTCGTAAGGAGCTGGAGGCTGAGGCGGTCGCACCTATCAAATGAGGTGGATTTCCACACAAAATCCACCTGGAAGTTATGTGTCACCTCCACAGGTGCACCCACACTGCTCCGCAGCTCAATGGCAATTTCATCACCATAATCTGCACAGCAGAGTTAAGGTTCACCTCGTCATAAACTGGCTGTATCTTTCTGAGGAGCCCTCACTCGGTTACGAGGATAGATTCTCCCTTTGCACCAAAAGGTGACAATGTAGCCAGTGAGACCCATGTTCTCACTGACAGATTCTGTCTATGGTATCCGAGTCCCCTGCAGCCAACCCCCAACAACTACCCCGTGAGCCTCTGGGTGTCACCCAGGATGCTGGGATAGATCAGTCACATCTAGAACCCATGTTCTTTTTAGCAGTGCTGCTTCTTATTCTATATAAATGGGATACCCTCAGTCTCCATGAAGAAAGAGTTCAGTGGCTTGAAACAAACTTAACTCAAGGGGGCCCCAACAGCCATGGCCACACCCCCGACCAGAGGCCCCAGAGCTGGTTTCCCCAGTGGCCCCCACACAGGTCTCCTACGTTAGCTGTTCTTCACACAAAGGATACTATCAGGGACCTTGATGACGTGGCCGATCCCTTTCCACAGGGGAGCCAGATCCCCTTTGTACCGCAGGCATATCTCATCCCCCTGCATGAGCCGCATGTCTTCCAGGAAAAAGACAGCAAGAAAGTTAGCGTTTTCAACATGTGCCTAGGCCACCACCATGAAGAGTTTAAATTAAGGGTCACTTTACAAGGGCACAACTAGGAATTTTATGCTACTTATAGTCACAAATATTTTAAAACTTAAAATCACCTCTTAACCAAATTATGACTAAATCCTCATTACCAGAGTCAGTCTTGGGTAAAGTGAAGTAGGCGATTCTCTTCTTGTTAAGGCCCAGGTCCCACCTGACCGTGATGTTATCTTGAGTCTGAGCACATGAAAAATAAGAGCCCTGTTAGCCTGTGACACAGACATGGCCTGGACTCCTGTGTCTGGGCTTCCACAGGCATGTGCCCTAAGGCAACTTCGTGAGCCTTGATGCTGGTGTGCAGCAAGTAGCACCCAGCAGCCTGAAACACCAACAAGGGCACCGCTGGGAGAGAAGACATTAGGATCCCCAGAACCCCCACAAAACAGCCAGGAACCTCCACATGACGTCTGCTCTCAGAAGTCCTCAGAGGGAGAGAAAGGAAGCTGAAGGCTGAGGACACGGCCCAGGAGCTCCAGGGCTCTGGCTCCCTAGACGTGCTCTTCCTGGGACCAGCACAAGGAGTGCCCGCCATGGCTCCAAAGGCTGCAAACCCAACTGTGAAGGACTTTTGTTAGATTTATATCAGCTAACACTCAGGCTGGTGTCTAGCTCTAAGTGACGAGGCATCTGCCCTCGATCCACAGCTCCGTCTCTAGTCATGACAGCATCGGCAGCCTGCAGGGAAAACTACCCTCCCTGTAGCTCAGGAAAGATGTGTTAAAACAACCACATCCTCCTGCACACACCACGTCACCTGGGACTCTTTCAACTTCTTGTCATAGTCAGCCTCCAGCTTGACCAGAGGCCCGAATATGTTCTGGTACTGGTAGGCATCCTCATACCGCAGGAGGACATGCTGCGGTTCCTCGTCCACCCCCGGCTTCTCCAGATCCTCCAAGGTAGCAGAAGGATTCTCCTAGAAGACAAGAACCACACCGAGTTCACCCCTGGTTTCACCTGTGTATGAAATGGACTATATTCAAGCTCACCAGTCACCACAAGGACGGGGGCACACCCATCAATTCTCAGAACGAGCTGATGTTGGGCTGACGCCAAGAAAGAGCCAGCAGTCCGTGGTGTCAACCCTACGGGAGAGCCCTCACATCAGGAAGTTTATGTGGCACAGGGCAGCTGGAGGCCTGCCGAGGCCATGCTCATGCCTTAGCTGCTGCTCTAACAACCCCTAACAAGGTTAAACCAATAGTCTAAGTCTTGACAAGTCTTGGTGGTCGCACTCCAGGTACAGAACTAACACGCCCACACCATCAAATGGCTGCGCCCTTCACAATCACCTGGCCCTGCACTGGAAGGGACGGCACTTCTTCCAGGCTGCCAGAAAGACCACCAGTTCCTCTGGCTGTGTAAACAGAGGGCGAGACGAGACCCACCTCCCCATTTCCTCCTGGTCCTTCACTACACCAATATGGCTTTGTGCTCTTTCCTGGCAGGGACAGAACGGTAAGTGGGCTGCTGAAATATGAAAAAATTGTGGCAACCTGAAAATGGAAGTGAAAAGGCACCTTGCTAGACAATGTCTGGAAACTATTTTAATTTGCACCTGAAGTAAAGACAAATTCACATTTAAGATTTCTGGTCACACCGGTGCCTAATTAAAATTTCTAGCCTTGTTATTAAAACTGCACAGTAATACAGTTTTACTAGAGAGAAGGGCTTTCCCAGAGAAGTGGGTATGCATGTAGAGCAGGTGCCCAACCACACAACCGGGGGCTCCTCTCTCCTTCAGTCGCTGCGCTGCACATCTCTAACCTTTGGGACCCTGATCCCTTTCCCACTGCACTCACCCTTGGCCTGGTATCGCCCTGGCTCAGACACATCAAAGGCCCAGCAAGGTTTTAAAATGCACTCACCATCCTATCTATGCAGGCCCTGTCTCCTCCATACACGTCCACCCACAGCTGTCCAGGGCCAGCTCCTGTCAGAACTCCTCCAGGAAGAGACTGCCGAATCTCCCAGAAGTTCCTTCCAGACTCTCTTGTTTATGAAGATAGCTCCCCAACCCCCACCCCCCCGAGGTCTACAGAAATCTAGTGCTGAGGCAGATTGCATTCTCAGCAGGCCTCACCTTCCACAGCTCCTCAAGCTTGTTGATCTGCTGGGCAGTAATCTGCCGGGCCCGCAGCTGCTCCTGCTCTGAAGGGATCTTGACCAGCCAGGACAGGAAGCAGCGATCCTGGATCAGGGGCTGCCACTGCGAGCTGTCCCAGTTGATGTCCTTGAGGCTGCTCTGACTGGCACAGGGCTGCCTATAGAAGCCCCGAGGGCAGGAGAGCCCAGGTAAGGATGACCTCTGCCCCAAGACTTACCTTTCACCCCAAGGTGCCAGTCTCTACCTTTTATTATGTGATCACATTACCTTTATATTGTTAGTAATAAATTGGATTTCCCCACACACTTGAGCTCTGAACTCTTAAAATTCAGAACAGACTTTGGTTTTACAGAATGTTTTTATGATTTAACCAGAACATACCCCCAGAGTCACTTGACATTCCCAGCTCTCCAACAAACTCCAACCCCCTAACATCCTCACACCTAGCCGGTCAGCAGAAAGCACTGAGACAGAGCCAGCCCCCAGAGAAATTGGGGCGCCCTCACCTGCACAACAGCACCACCACAGAGTCAGCCTTGGCGGGGATGAAGCCGAGGAGGAAGACGTTGCGGCAGCCACAGTTGTAACACTCCAGGACCGTCTCCCCAAGGGGCCCATCCTTGTGCAGAGTCACCTCTTTGCATTTTGCCCTCACAAGGTGATTTACAATGTGGCTTAAATCAGGAAATGATAAATAGTTAACACCCAAAGTTTGGCTTTTCACCACTTCCAGTTCTCCAGCCCCTGTTAAAAGTTCCGGTACCATTCACGGTCCATTAGCAGAGGCGGTCACACCTCATCCATCTGGCATCCCCAGAGAGCAGCCCGCCCCTGAACCGGCTCCCCACTGAGTGCAAAACTCAACCCTCCTTGAACCACTGTTAAGGAAAATTTTCCTAACACGTTTCACATAGTTTCTACTTTTTTTCTCTTTCAGTTCCTGCTTTCTTAAATCCAACTTATTGGGCCTCACTGGATCTACAGCTGGGGCCCCAGCTGCTGCCCCTTTCCCAGCTCCTCTTGCTCCTTGTAGCCTCTCTGTTGCTTCTTTCAAAGTCACTTCTTGTGGCCCCTGTGCCGGCTGCCAGGAGCAATGCTCCTCTTAATTTGCTGCAGGCCAGGAAACTTGATAAGTACTCGTATTAGAAACCTGAGGACAGTAAAAAATATCGAATGGGGGGTTCAGGGCTACTCTCAGGAAGCACAAGGGCCCAATGAAATCCTCTGAAACCCCGCTGTCTTGGCATGGCCTGGACCATGCTGTCGTTCTCATTTCCAGGCTATATAGCTCACCAAAACCCAGGTCTATGCCAAGCCGGCCTCGTTGGGGGCCCATGGGTGGTACAAGCCCTGCCTCAGGCTCTCTGCAGCCTGGCTATGGGTTTGTGCAACACTCCTTACAGCAGCCCTCCCTTCACACCAGGAAACCTCTCCTGTCATAAGCTTAAGCTCCAATGCCAATATTCTCTGGCCCCCATCATCAGATCTTCTAACCAACAATCACAGCTCTCGGCAACCCCCAAAGTCGCCCACTCCTCTCTGAAGCCACCGCTGCTGGCCATGTTACCAGAACCAGTGGTTTCCTCTTGTACTTTCTGTGCTCACCTCACCCAACTACACTGACAACAGGCTGCCCATCAGCTTTCATTTGAGCCTTGCGAAACGCATGTGATGCTGGTTAACTGAGCCTTCCCTGACTTCCCAGATCTTGGCTCTGCTGACCAGAAGCTGGAGTTGTTTAATTGCTTTTCCTGCAGAAGAACTAATGCAAACATGGTGACAGTTAAACTGCCCAGAACACTGAAAACGGGACATGAATCTCTTTTGGTCACCCTGAAGACGCTTTTTCTTTAGAGACTTTTAAAAACATCAGCCTCCTTTCTTGCCTTGCTCAGAACCCCACAATTCACATCCTAACTGAGATGACCCAGGATCTGATCACTCTGTGTCCTGAGGCAACATGATGTTGCACAGGAAGGGTGGGTGGGGACTCTGTGCACACAAACCCGCCTGCGGATTGTTGTCACTTTACTGCTCCAAACATGTACCTCAGAGGTGCTGCTTCCTTGCTTCCTTCCAAAAACTGGAGCCCTTTGCCACTGGGACTATGTTCTGCTTCTTGTAGCAGTGGAGTTAAGTCAGAGGTGGGGGCCAAGGAATTCCAGCATCTGAGCTAGATGGATGTACTCTCTCTAGAACCCAAACACTACTCACACCCCAACGCCAAGCACAAGCACAGGCACAGGCACAAGCATGGGCCCAGTCACAACTGCCGCTGATCAAGAGGGAGCCCAGAGCCATCACTGGTCGGAACTTGATTTAAGCTGAGGATTCAGGATCTGGTCGTGTTAGCCTCTGAACTACTCGATGAGCTCAGGACTGAGGCAGCCTTCTCAGGAAGCAGCTCCCATGGATGATGCCCATTACTGCCTTGGGTTCATTGTCCCTGGGCACCCAGTAATGAAGATGAATGGGTGTGCCAGGAGCTCATCTTGCAGAAAAATATAAATAAAAGCTGGAACAAGAATTAAGCCAACTATGTTGGTATAATAAAAAGAACCAGAGAATAAATCAAGGGTAAATACATTAAGGCATTCACACACCACCATCTGTTTCAAGTTAAACCCGTCACAGAGGAGGAAAAAACCCAGGTTTGTTAGCGTGATTTTATATTGTGCTTCACTTCAGCATTTCCATAATTTACACACAAATCTGAACACAGCCTGATTAAAGACACATGCGCAGCCTGATACCTACCTGCCAGAAGTATTTCCACGCCCATTACAGAACCACTTCTTGCTGGTATTACAGTAAACCACGCAAGCAGGATCATGTATTCCGCAGTAACTAAAAAAGTCAAAACATGAACAGTTAAAGCTGGAAGGTCATTCTCTGGTTTTAATTTGGCAGAATGTAAAATTCTTTCCTCTTACAACATTTTTATGTTTTTCATTAAACACATACTCAAACCCAATGATCCTACTAACACAATTCAATCAGTTAACTGTTGAGGCTTCCTGGCCCTGTGAATGCAGGAAGGGATTGGGGTGCTGTGGAGAACCTTAGAGATACCCCAGACAGCAGTGGAGCCCCTTCCAAGTGGTGGACAAGCTCTGTGCGAGGTGCCAAGTGAGCCCAACACCCCCAGGGCTATCTAGTTACCCTCAAGGCCTTAAGTGTCAGAAATGTGACTTACAAGCAGAGAAACCAGTGTCCATGTGTAGCTCTGGGCACATGGAAGATGAGCTATGACCACACTTCATTCACACTGCGGCAGAGGGCGCCATGCTCCCAGGAACACTCAACTCAAACTGAGCAGCAGAGGGTCAGCTCAAAAGGAGAACATTAGGCGAGTCCACCCACCCCCAACCCCTAAGCCTCGTTCTTTTCTGCAAGTTAACACATCAAAAACAGAAACACTGGCTGTCAACAGAATTCAGTACGTGTGTGAAGCCAAGACTCAGTCTCAGACCAGAATGTGCTTAGACCAAGAGCCTCCCCTGCCACAACACCCCACACACGGGGACAGCCAGGAGGGCCAGGGGTTGTACACTTTAACCACATGCAGCTTCACCAGGATTGGCAACTGTGTATATGACAGGAACACTAATACATCACTCACACATATGCGAAAATATTTGTAAATGAGAGTGAACAAAGAGCTAAAATAAAGTGAAAACCTCTGTGGGTCGTGGGAGTGGTATATGGTACTCAATCCCTCAAGCAGACCCCAGAGGGGCAGCATGCCCAAGGGGCAGGCAGAGCTGAGTAGAGGCCCAGGCCCAAAGCGGCCCCAAATGGCTGAGTGCCCTAAGCAAGATCATTTCACCTCTTTCGGTCTCAACTTCCTCTTGTGCGTGTAACAAAAAAGCAAGATTAAGTCCAAACATAAGGGATAGGTCCTGCCCTAGATGAGAATTCCAAATTTGGTCAACATGCAGGTCTACCCACTGACTATTTACTTCCAACTTTTAAGAATCTTGAACACATCAGAGGCAGACACTTTCAAGAATCTGACAGTAATCTCTCTCTAAGAGAAATCTTAGTGGCTCTATTTACCCTATAGACCCAAATGTTCACCCAATGAAAAGAGTTCTGATCAGTGTGTGGGAGATACCAGAAACACCCCCAGGCCCTGAAAGCAGAGAAGGGAACCTTTCCCTACCTGGTGAAACAATCAGGTGACAGAGGGTGCTGAGCCCATCCTCTTGCCCAATGACGTGTATACCACAGGCCAGAGCAACCTCCTTATTATCAAGCATTCAAGTCCCTGGTCTTGGAGTGGTCTCTGTGAAGCCAGCAGACACACTTGAAATGCAGAGGCCCTGGGACACCACTGCTGTTGGCGCTCACCTGCAGGCATGTACCGGTAGGTCCTTTGTGTAATAGGTATCCTCTTCATCCTCTTCGAAGTTCAACTCGGCCAGCAACTGGCTAGTCTTGGCCACGCTGTCATCCACGGCCCCATTCTGCAGGATGCCCTCAGGTCCTCCAACCTACCGCAGAATAGCAGCATCACCAGGCAAGCCTCAGCCTCCAGGCCTCAAGAAAGTAGCTTCTCCCCAAGTGAGCATTCATGGCAACCCTCCTGTGAAGCACTGACCTACTTTTCACTTTGAGACAGTTCAGTGTCTTCTGCTTTTGACTTTTCACACTCTCCCCTTCCCTATCAAACCTACTCACATCAAAACAGGGCACTTGGTGGCCTTGGTCATCTGCCTTGATTCCTGAGCAGCCAGACCCAACCCCCATGAAGCCACAACTACAACCAGGATGCAGAGGAAAATGTTTCATTATTGTCACTGAAGGTCACAGGAGCAAGATAACTTTTTAGAAACAAGCAAAAGTCCCCTCTGGGGACAGCTACACAGTGTTAAGCCAGATGACATGGGATCCTACAAAGTGAATGATCCTCCCAAAGCCAAAGCCCCCAGAAATGATGGTTGTGAGCCCTGAAGATGCAGCAGAGCAGTTATCTCTTACAAACTTCTACTGCCAGCACCCTCTCCAGAAGGCAGCCCTTCTTGACCATGAATTAGAAACTGAGTGTTAGGATAACCTTCCAAATTCAGGCAATAATCTTACTAAATGTATTACCTTTTATGTTACAACAGCAAAAACACACAAACAGGTGACTTGAAGTAACTAAGCCATGAATTTCACCAGGTACTTCTGCCGAGCTCACAAGTCCATCAGGAGCACACAGACTCAGCTTCCCCAGGGGAACTGCAGTCCTAATGCCAAACCCCGGGAATCTCAGGCGGGCAGTCAAAAGTCCTGTCATCTCCTCCCAGGGGCCACAGCCCCCGCAAGGCTGGGTCAGACAACAGGAGCACTGTGTGGTAATGAAATATGGGGAGCAGTGACAGGAGCCCCAGTGCAGACACCAGCCCTGACCCTTTACAGAGCCCCTGACACCCAGAGCAGGGGTGCCAAAACCCAGATCCAGCACAGCCTGAGTCAGCAGTGCCCACTGGGGCTTCCCCTATCCACGCTCTGGTCAAATCACCTGTAGAAGCCTAAGGATAGTGATTCTCAAGAGGGGCACTCCAGGTATTTCAAAGGTACACCTGGGGTATCAGGAAGTCAGCATCCTGTTGTAGGAACACCTGTCTGCGATGGTTTCGGCCCAGATCAGAACCCCATTTCACAGTGTCAGCCACCATGTTAATATGCTTTTTTTTTTTCAGGAAGGCAACAACCAGATTAATTACATGAAGACTGTTGGTTTCGTTAGAAAAAAGTCAAAATCAACTTTTAGATTTTAATGCAAAGAAAACAATGCTATAACATCATCTTTGTGAATTCTTTATCTCCTTTATTAAAAAAAGATTGTATTTATTTAATTTTAGAGAGGGAAGGGAGGGAGAAAAAGAGAGAAACATCAATGTGGTTGCTTCTCACATACCCCCCACTGGGGACCTGACCAACAACCCAGGCATGTGCCCTGACTGGAAATCAAACCAGTGACCCTTTGGTTCACAGGCCGGTGCTCAATCCACTGAGCCACGCCACCAGGGCTTCTTATCTCCTTTAAAAAACTGTACTAAAATACACATAACATAAAATGTAGCATCTTAGCCACTTTCAAGTATACAGTTTGGAAACATTTAAATACATTCAGTGGTGTATAACCATCCCCACCATCCAGCTCCAGAACTTTCCATCTTGCCAAACTCCATCCCCATTAAACACTAACTCCTCACTGGCTGCCCCCTGGCACCCCCCATTCCATTTTCTGTCTCTATGAATTTCACTCCTCTAGGAGCCTCATATAAATGGAGTCACACAGTATCTGTCCTTTTGTGTTGGGCTTATTTCACTAAGCATAATGTTCTCAAGGTTCATCCATGTTATAGCATGTATCAGAATTTCCTTCCTATTTTTAAGGCTTAATAATAAGAGGAATAATATTCCTTTTTTAAGGCTGAATACTCCACTGTAGAAATTTACGACGTTTTGTTTACCTAGCCACGTGTCAGTGGACGCTTAGGCTGCCTCTACCTTCTGGTTGCTGTGAATCATCCTGCTATGCACACGGGCATACAAACACCTCTTAGCAACTCTGCTTTCATTTCTTTTGGATATTCACCCAAAAATAGAGTTGCTGGGTCACATGGTCATTTTATGTTTAAGTTTTTGAGGGATCACCAGACTTTTCCTCAGCAGCTGTACCATTTTTATATTCCCATCAGTGTACAAGGGTTCCAATTTCTCCACATCCTCATCAACACTTGCTATAATTTTTCTGTTAAAAATAAAAAAGCCATCCTAATGGACACAAGGTGGTATCTCATTGTGGTTTTGATTTTCATTTCTCTGATGGCTACAGATACTGAACATCTTTTCATCATGTGCTTCTTGGCCACTTGCATACCTTCTTTGGAGACATGTCTATTCAAGTCCATTGCCCATTTTTAATTTGATTAAATTTTACTGGTTACCACTTCAAAGAGTCACTTCTCCACTGACAATGCTTCTTCTGACACATGTAGTAGTGACACTGGTATGAGGCTGCCAACAGGACCAGCACTGCTGGCTCACAATGTCTCTTGGTGTGACTATACCTAGGCACATTCGTTCGGTCTTCTGAAAGTGTGTGGCCAACTTACGGCACCTGATTTCAACTCATGGCAGCAAGGGGGATATATATATCTATCTTCTATATATATAACACACACATATATATGTATACATCATGCTGCAGGGAGGGGCTGAGAAGGTGGATCAGCCTGCAGGCTACTTCTTAGGCTCAGAATAGTATTTACATTTTTAAATGATTGGACTAAATACCTAAAAATAGCCTCAATTTTGCTTCTTGTCCCATAAAGTATAGAATATTTACTATCTAGCCCTTCAATAAAATGTTTACTCACTCCTAGTCTAGGAGAATTTTTAAAGTCTCTTATCGGGTTGCATAAGCTATTATATATAAAGATCTATTCTTGGTGCAATCTGAATCTTTACTTTCCTGAATCAAAATTAGTATGTGAAGTAAAAGGAAAGTACACACTACCTGTGTCGCCCTCATCCTACCCACTCCTGCCTCACACCTCCCCTACCCTCCACAAGGGTGGCGGCAGGGGGCGGGGAGGATACAGCACCCCAGGAGCACGTTAGGTGCCTGACCAGCTGTGCCATGTACAGCCACATGGCAACCCTCTCTAAACTACACTAATCCCTCAGGCTTAGCAAGGGGTAGAAATCTAGGTCCCCTCTCAGAACTCAAGGGAGACAACGGAATACACAGATCCAAGGCCAGGGGGGCTTCCTGCACCCTCACAAAAGCTGGGGAGAAGTACAGGTCCCCTGAGGCCCAGGGGCCCTACAGCTGTCTGGCTGGGGAGTATGATGTGGTCCCCCTCATTCATGTGCCTGTGCACACACACACTCCTAGCTCCCACTAAGCCCCACCCCTGCCCAGCTATAATCTGGCCACAACACAAATTGGCCTTTATAGCTGGGTTGTTAAGTTTCTCCCTCTACTTTCTGAAAAGTTTTAAGATAACATTAACTTCAAAAATACACTTGACCTTAAGAACTGTAATTAAATGAGTTAAAGCACTAGAGAGTACCTGGCACAGTGAAGGCCCACGACCCATGTCAGGTGACACAATGGAAGGAATGCAGGGTGTGCTTGTCCTTAGCTGGCACAGGACTGAAGTCCTCCCAGGTCATCAACCCCTCATCTCAAGCCAAGACCACTGGATCCTGCTGGGCTCAAGAGGGGCAGGGCAACCCTGCATCCACAAGCACCTTAAGCCTACCTCCAGGTACCACATCACTGGGGAAATAGTTTCCTCTCCTTCTGTGCTCTGAACACGCTATCTGAAGTCCATCTATGAGCTGCTGAGCTGATCATGGCCTGCAGGGACTTTCTGCCGTAGAGAGTTCCACACTACCCACTACAGAACTGAGACGGTGCATATCAGAGCAGCAGGAAGAGAGGTCACTTCATTCCCACAGAGGAAAGTATGTACATGTGAAAACTACCCCTCAATGTGCTGGGAAGAACTTTTAGACCACAGCTTTTACTCCACACTTCGTAAGCATCATACCACTCAATATGAAACAGACCTTTCTGTCCCACAGTCTTTGAGTAAGCTGGTGACCCGGGGCCTTAGCACTCACTGTCCCTTGGCCTCTGCAGAGCCAGCTCCTGGTCCTTTAGGTCTGAGCCCACAGAGGACGTCCCAAGTAGACTTCCCCTGACCCCATCTGAAGAAACACAGTGAGGCCACTATGCCTGTCCTGCTCCCTCCTATGACCTCGGCACCCAGAACCGATCCCACACCCCAGAAGGCCCTCATGGTGTTAGCTAAACAAATACATCTCATCCAAAACACAAAGGCTGTCAAGTGATTCATCATTTATTCTTTTATTCCCAAGGTTTAAATGTAAAAGAGGGAGTGGGAAATCACCTTTCCCTCAGGATATCTGAGGCAGAGAGGAGCTGCAGAGCCTCTGAACCCCACCTCAGGAAAAGGGTAACAGAAGGTCCAGCCTCCCCCATTTTTGAAAATGTTCCAAAATGAAATACCCACATGCCTGACACCAGGATCAACCAGCCACTCAGATGTCACTACGCCTGATCTCTCCTCCTCACTCTGCACATACACTTTTATTTTCCTGATCAAATTTACAGTCATTTTTTGTTTTACTGCACTTTGCAAATATTGTTTAAAAAAAAAACAAAAAACAAATTGAAGGCAACACCCCCACCCCCCCAGCAGCAAAACGATTACAACTCACTGAAGGCTCCAATGATGGTTGGTGGTTAGCATTATATAGCAATAAAGTATTTTTAAATTAAGGTATGTGCACTGTTTCTTTAGACATAATGCTACTGTACACTTAATACAGACTACAGTATATTATAAACATAACTTTTATACACACCGGGAAACAAAAACATTGGCATGGCTGACTTCAATGCAATGGTCTGGAACTGCATCGTCTCCAAGGTATGCCTGTACAGGCATCACGCTCAAAACAA